ATTCTATCATCATTTCATAACCTCTTCCATGTAGGTTACAAGTCGCTACCCCCCCTCTTAGAACCTCTCATTTCCTTTCCATTGTGGAAATCTATCCTCAAGGAAATCACTTCTGTGTTCCGTCTGCTATTCCATTACTCCTCAGGGATTGTTCAGGCCCCCTCCCTTCCCTACACATCAAGCTCCAGGATTTGCCCCTGCCCAGGACTGGTAAATTGACTTTACTCACATGCCCCAAGTCAGAAAACTAAAATACCTCTTGGTCTGGGTAGACACTTTCACTGAATGGGTAGAGGCCTTTCCCACAGGGTCTGAGAAGGCCACCATGATCATTTCTTTCCTTCCGTTAGACAGAATTCCTCGGTTTGGCCTTCCCACCTCTATACAGTCTGGTAACAGATCAGCCTTTATTAGTCAAATCACCCAAGTGGTTTCTCAGGCTCTTGGTATTTAGTGGCTCCTGTTTTTACCTCAAATCACCACCCTTAAGTCTCTCTTGAAGTGGATAGAAGATCTTCAGGGGCAAGGTATCCTCCAATACTTTCACCCTGATGAAGTCCTATTCTTTACTTTTATACTCACTCTTATTCTGGTACCCATTCTTATGCCACCCTCTACCTCTCCCCCGCTATCTCCACCACACCATCAATCTCACTCTCTCCTAGCCGTTGCTAATCCTTCTTTAATGAACAATTGCTGGCTTTGCATTTCTCTTTCCTCCAAAATCACCGAGGCATCAACTTACTCACTGCTAACAAAAGAAGACTGTATATTTTTAAATGAAGAGTGTTGTTTTTACCTAAATCAATCCAGCCGGGTATATGACAACATAAAAAAACTCAAAGATAGAGCCCCAAAACTCACCAACCGAGCAAATAATTACATTGAACCCCCTTGGACACTGTCTAATTGGATGTAGTCCCAATTCCTAGTACTTTAATACCTATTTTTCTGGCCAGGTGCAGTGGCTCATGCCTGTAATCCCAGCACTTTGGTGCCGAGACCAGCTCAGTCAGGGAGACCCTAACCCAGCAGCACTAGAGGAATTAAAGACACACACACAGAAATATAGAGGTGTGAAGTGGGAAATCAGGGATCTCACAGCCTTCAGAGCTGAGAGCCCTGAACAGATATTTGCTCACATATTTATTAACAGCAAACCAGTCATTAGCATTGTTTCTATAGATATTAAATTAACTAAAAGTATCCCTTATGGGAAATGAAGGGATGGCCCGAATTAAAGAAATAGGTTGGGCTAGTTAACTGCAGCAGGAACATGCCCTTAAGGCACAGATGCTCATGCCATTGTTTGTGGCTTAAGAATGCCTTTAAGCTGTTTTCTGCCCTGGGCAGGCCAGGTGTTCCTTGCCCTCGTTCCCATAAACCCACAACCTTCCAGCACGGGCGTTGGGACCATTACGAACATATTACAGTGCTGCAGATGCCCCGTCTCTACTAAAAATACAAAAAAATTAGCCAGGCATGGTGGCGGGCACCTGTAGTCCCAGCTACTCGGGAGGCTGAGGCAGGAGAATCACCTGGACCAGGGAGGCGGAGATTGCAGTAAGCCGAGATTGTGCCACTGCACTCCAGCCTGGGCAACAGAGTGAGACTCCATCTCAAAAAAAAAAAACAAAAACACTATTTTTCTCCTTATTTTATTTGGACTTTGTGTCTTCCATTTAGTTTCTTAATTCATACAAAACCACATCCAGACCATCACCAATAATTCTATACAACAAATGCTCTAACAACCCCACAATATCACACCTTACCCCAAAATATTTCTTCAGTTTAATCTCTCCCACCATAGGTTCCCACACTGCCCTAATCCTGCTTGAAGCAGCCCTGAGAAACATTGCCCATTATCTCTCCATACCACCCCCAAAAATTTTCACCACCCCAACACTGCAGCACTATTTTGTTTTGTTTTTCTTATTAATATAAGTAGACAGGAATGTCAGGCCTCTGAGCCCAAGCTCAGCCATTTCCTGTGACCTGCACGTTTACATCCAGATGGCCTGAAGCAACTGAAGATCCACAAAAGAAATGGAAATAGCTTTAACTGATGACATTCCACCATTGTGATTTGTTCCTGCCCCACCCTAACCGATACAATATAGTCTCCCCTGCCCTTAAGAATGTACTTTGTAATATTCTCCCCCACCCTTAAGAATGTACTTTGTACACCTAGCCCAAACCTATAAGAACTAATGATAATCCCACCACCCTTTGCTGACTCCTTTTTCGACTCAGCCCACCTGCACCTGGGTGAAATAAACAGCCTTGTAGCTCACACAAAACCTGTTGATGGTCTCTTCACATGGACGTGGGTGACACTGACCTCAAGTGATCTGCCTGCCTCAGCCTCCCAAAGTGCTAGGATTACAGGCGTGAGCCACCAGGCCCGGCTGAAATTATTAATTTAAATGAGACCTCTAGTGTGGGCACAAATTAACTTGGCTGGGGTCCAAAAAGGAGGTTGACCAGGTGTCATGGCTCATGCCTTTAATCCCAGCACTTTGGGAGGCCAACGTGGGCAGTCAGGAATTTGAGACCAGCCTGGCCTCGAGTGTACGTGGTGATGCAGCAGGAATGGACGCAGAAAAAAACCTCTCAGACACCGGTTATAGGAAGAGGCTTTAATCAGCTGGGAGCGTCGACAGACTTGCATCTTAAGAGCCAAGCTCCCTGAAAAAGTCTCTGACCCTTTTAATGGCTTACAATTCTAAGGGGTCCACATGAAAGGGTCATGATAGATTGTGCAAGTGTGGGCTATGTGACTGGGGGCTACATGCATCAGCAGTGGGGGCTAGCAGAACAGAACAGAGAGTTTCACAATGCTTCCTCATATGGTCAGGTCAGGAGTTGATCTTTAACTACCAGGCCCAGGTAGCAGTGCCAAACAATCTGGCCATTGATCTTACTTCTGCTTCTTTCTAACTTTCTGCTTCCTTCTGAAACAGGAGACAATGAGAGAGGTGGTCTCCTTCCTCAGTGAAACTTCATCTCTACTATAAAATAGAAACATTAGCAGAGAGTGGTTCTGGGCATCTGTAATCCCAACTACTCAGGAGGCTGAGGCAAGAGAATTGCTTGAACCCAGGAGGCAGACGTTGCAGTGAGCAGTGATCCTGCCATTGCACTCCAGCCTGGGCAACAGAGTGAAACTCCATCTCAAAAAAAAAAAAGAGGTTGTGTATGGTGGCTCACATCTGTAATCCCAGCACTTTGGGAGGCTGAGGAGGGTGGATCACCTGAGCTCACGAGTTCAAGACCAGCCTGAACAACATGGAGAAACTCCAGCTCTACTAAAACTACAAAATTAGCTGGGCGTGGTGGCGCACGCCTGTAGTCCCAGCTACTCAGGAGACTGAGGCAGGAGAATCACTTGAACTTGGAAGGCAGAGGTTGCAGTGAGCTGAGATTGTGCCATTGTACTCCAGCCTGGACAACAAAAGCAAAATTCTGTCTCAAAAAAAGAAGAAAAAAAAGTTGATATTTGGAAGCAGAGACCCCAGAGGTGCAGGTGCATAGAAGAAAGGCCACAGAGGACACAGCTGGAAGACTCCCTGCCAGCCAGGAGGAGCGGCCTCCAAGCAAACAACCTCACCCACCCCTCGAACTTGGACCTGCAGCCTCCAGATCTGCGAGAAAATAAATGCCTGCCGTGTGGACACCTGGCCCGGGGCATCTTCTATGGAGGCCACGGCATGAAGGGGTCATTTTTATAGAGTCTCATTCTCTAATAACTTACATCTGCCTTGAAAATGTCAAGTCAAATTTAAAGTGTGGAGAAGAGCCTCTAAATCTCACATTTCATTTGCAAAGAAATAATTGTAATTTGGGACATACACGCAGTCCGGGTGGTGTTCACCATGTTGGGAGAACAGAGATGGCAACAGGTTTTATAAAAAGGAGAAATGGGCTAGGCGCTGTGGCTCACACCAGCAATCCCAGCAATTTGGGAGGCCAAGGCGGGCAGATCACCTGAGGCCAGGAGTTTAAGACCAGCCTAGGCTGGGCCCTGTGGCTCACGCCTGTAATCCCAGCACTTTGGGTGTCCGAGACGGCTGGATCATGAGGTCAGGAGTTCAAGACCAGCCTGGCCAAGATGCTGAAACCACATCTCTACTAAAAACACAAAAATTAGCCAGGCATGGTGGCACGTGCATGTAATCCCAGCTACTTGGGAGGCTGAGGCAGGAGAATAGCTTGAACCTGGGCGACAGAGGTTATAGCGAGCCGAGATTGCACCACTGCACCCCAGCCTGGGCAACAGAGCAAGACTCTGTTTTAAAAAATAAAATAAAAATAAGACCAGCCTGCGCAACAAGATGAAACCCGTTTTTATGAAAAATACAAAAATTAGCCTGGCATGGTGGTGCACGCCTGTAATCCCAGCTACTCGGGAGGCTGAAACAGGAGAATCACTTGAACAAGGGAGGAGGAGGTTGCAGTGAGCCAAGACTGGGCCATTGCCCTTCAGCCTGGGCAACAAGGCGAGACTCCATTTCAAAAAAAAAAAAGGAGAAATGTTCTCTTGCCCTTTGGGAAAGCCCGTGGGCACTAGGAAGGGTTGGGAGCTGGGAGGTTCCATTGCTGAGTCGCTGCTTTTGGAGCAAGGAGTCCAAGACTTACAGCCATTTATCGCAGAAGCTATGGATAAAGCTGGTTTCAGGGTACAACGCACAGTTTCAGGAGTCAGGCTTGCACAGAAGTCCATTTCGGGAGCAATGGTGTGTGGCCTGATTGCTTTTCCTCCCTGGCTTCTGGCCTCTGTTTTAGCCGGGTAGGACATGAATGACCCAATTCGTAGGATGAAATTTACAAAGGATGTTTCTCAAAACTTCTGGTATTCAATTTACATATATTCACGCCCATTTAGGTTGAGTTTATTTATGAATTTATTTTCAGGCAGGGTCTCAATCTGTCATGCAGACCAGAGTTCAATGGCGCGATCTCAGTTCACTGCAGCCTCCACCTCCCCAGCTCAAGCAATCTTCCCACTTCAGCCTCCCAAGTCGCTTAAACTACAGGTGCATGCAACCACACCTGGCTTTTTATTTATTTATTTATTTATTTTTTGTAGAGATGGGGCTTTGTCCTGTGGCCCAGGCTGGTCTTGAACTCCTGCGCTCAAGGGATTCTCCCACCTCTGCCTCCCAAATTGCTGGGGGGATTACAGGCGTGAGTCACTGCAGCCAGCCTAGGTTGAGTTTAATAAGATTTGTTTATGTGGCTGGGCAGGGTTGCTTATGCCTGTAATCCCAGCACTTTGGGAGGCTGAGATGAGCAGATCACCCGAGGTCAGGAGTTCAAGACCAGCCTGGCCAACATGGTGAAACCCAGTTACTACTAAAAATACAAAAAAAAAAAAAAAAATTAGCTGGGCGTGGTGGCAGGCATCTGTACTCCCAGCAATTCGGGAGGCTGAGGCAGGAGAATCACTTGAACCTGGTAGGCGGAGTTTGCAGTGAGCCAACATCAAGCCATTGTACTCCAGTCTGGGCGACAGAGCGACACTCCGTCTCAAAGAAAAAAAAAAAAAGGTTGGTTATGCTGGGGAGATGGGAAAAGGCAGGTTAGGGGCACACAGGCTCAGGGAACGGGGTCTTGGTGGGTGGATGGGTAGCCATGGAGGCAGAAAGGGGCCTCTGAAGGAAGAGCCTAGGAGAGCGGGGAGGAGGTGATGAGGCAGGGGAGCACTGTGAAATGGCCCTGAGGGCAGGAGGGGCTCAGGATGACCAGACAAAAGCAGAGCTGGTCCAGGGTGGAGGGGAGGCCCGCGCAGCATGAGCAGGAGGCTAGAGGAGACAGACCATGAGGCCTGGGGAGACCGCTCACTCGAGAATCTCCTGCAGCTTGCTGTCCAGGAATAGAAAGTTGTATTTTAGTCCCTTCCAAGGCTTGAACGGCTCATCACCATTGTACACAAAGTTTTCCCAACAATATTTAAAATCTGAAAAAAAACGAGGAGAAAGCAGTGAGGACCCAGCAGGCCTCTCTCCAGGCCCTGGTCCCTCCCCTCCCAGGCCAGGTCTCCTGGCTGCCAGTTACAGTGGACGCTGGCCCCATCCCTTCAGGCTTCCCGGGGACACTGCCTCGCCCCACGGCATTGCAGCCCCACCTGCCCCTCATGCTGTCCCTCCCGAACCCTCTCCCCTCAGTCCCCCACATCTCACCTTTGTAGCCCATGATCTCCACGGAGGCCCCTTTCTCACTCAGGCTGCGGAGCCCCTGCTGGTAATGTGTATCCCAGAAGTAGTAGAGGCGGGCAGCAAAGATGGCGAGCTTCACATTACTGTGCCTGGCCAGGAACTCGGCCACCTCCCCTGCACAATCTAGGCAAGGGCTCCAAGATGTGTACCAGGTGACCTGGTAGTCTGTGTTAGGAGACAGTATGTCCTCGCAGAACCAGGAGAGGAAGCACCTTTCTGCATGACAACGGCTCTCAGGATCGACCTGGGGAAGGAGGAGGAGGAGGGCAGGGGGAGCTCAGACCAGGAGCAGGGGGAGTGCAGGGGTGGGGCGATGGGAGTAGAGGGCGGGCCTGGAGCCCCAGGGCGTTTCCTTATTCATTTATTTTTGAGACAGGGTCTCTCTCTGTTGCCTAGGCTGGGGTGCAGTGGTGCGATCTGGACTGACTATAGCCTTCACCTCCCAGGCTTGAGGAATCTTCCCACCTCAGCCTCCTGATTAGCTGGGACTGCAGGTGCATGCCACCACGCCTGTCTAATCTTTTTGTAATTTTTGCAGAGACAGGATTTCACCATGTTACCCAGGCTGATCTTGAACTCTTGGGCTCATACTGTCCTCCTGCCTCAGCCTACCAAAGCTCTGGGACTATGAGCGTAAACCACATGCACTGCCTTATTCTCTTTACTTTTCATTTTTCTGGGTACATAGTAGGCCCTAGGGCTTTTTATTCATAGAATTTCCCTTCTTCCATCCTTGTCCTTCGTTTTTCTTTATTCTTCTTTTTTTTTTTTTTTTCCGATACGGAGTCTTGCTCTGTCGCCCAGGCTGGAGTGCAGTGGCGCGATTTCCACTCACTGCAAGCTCCACTTCCCGGGTTTATGCCATTCTCCTGCCTCAGCCTCCCAAGTAGCTGGGACTACAGGCGCCCGCCACCACACCCGGCCAATTGTTTGTATTTTTAGTAGAGACAGCGTTTCACTGACTTATCAAGCATGGTCTCAATCTCCTGATCTCGTGATCTGCCCGCCTCAGCCTCCCAAAGTGCTGGGATTACAGGCGTGAGCCACCGCACCCAGTCCTTCCTCTTTATTTTTTTGAGCGATGGAGTCATGCTCTATCACCCAGGCTGGAGTGCAGTGGCAAGATCTCGGCTCACTGAAACTTCTGCCTCCCAGGTTCAAGCAATTGTCCTGCCTCAGCCTCCCGAGTAGCTGGGACTACAGGGGCGCACCCCCATGCCTGGCTAATTTTTCTAGTTTTAGTAGAGATGGAGTTTCACCACATTAGCCAGGCTGGTCTCAAACTGCTGACCTCATGATCCTGTCGCCTCGGCCTCCCAAAGTGTTGGGATTACAGGCGTGAGCCCCCATGCTCGGCCCCTTCCTTCTTTATTTTATTGAGTCTTTCCCTGTCTCGTCACAGGTCATGTGTGATTTCTGGCATCCTGTTCCCCAGGCATCCATTAACCAGGCATCCTCAGCCCCTGCTGCGGCCTGGCCCTATGGGGGTCGTCCTTGTTCCCTGTCTCCCTTCTGCTACGCAGGTCATTGGACCAGCATTGCCCATGGAGTTGAAGGTTGGCCAAAGGGGTTACTGAGCACTTGAAATGGGGCTCTGATTAGAAACATTGGCCTGTGAACAATACACAGCTCATTTCAAAATCTCATTGTGAGAACAGACAAACTTTAACTCCCTCGTGAGACATTTTATATTAAGTATATGTTGAAATCGTATGTGAGATAATTGAGCTAATGCAGACATTAAAATGTCTTCCACCAGTTCTTGCCGCCTTTTTAGCGTGTGGGGACTTCACTTGTGCTTCACTCCTGAGTCCTGGGCGTTTCCGAGGCCAGCACTGCTGTAGGCCAGGCCTGCCCAGAACACAGGCGGCTCCCTCCCCGAACACACTCTGAAAAGTCTCCTGCCTGGGCAGTGGGGGCTGCAGGGGTGGGTGGAACATGACAGGGTGGGTGGGAGGTCATTGGCCCCTGTGGGGGCGGCGTGGTGAGGAGCAAGGGTTCACCATCCTGTGATGATGTGTCCTTGACATCAAGGAATCAGGGCAATGGCAGGGGCGGCCCCACCAGCCCAGCAGTGACTGGCCCAGACACAGTGCCGGACACCACAGCCCCCGCTTCCCACAGCAGCTGTTTCCCGAGGACTTCCGGACACACAGCTCCATGACAAGATTTTGGGAAAGAAGGTCAAGAGTGAGGGTGCTGGGCTCTAAGCAAGGCCTTTTGGGAAGAGACAAACCCCCTCCACCATCCGATCCCAGGAGAGACAGGGAGGAAGATCTGGGCCACGGACTTAAAAATGTGGGAGGAGGTTGGGCGCGGTAGCTCATGCCTATAATCCTAGCACTTTGGGAGGCCGAGGGGGGCGGATCCCGTGCGGTCAGGAGTTCGAAACCAGCCTGGCCACTGTGGTGAAACCCCGTCTCTACTAAAAATACAATAAAAATTAGCCGGGTGTGGTGGCGGGCACCTGTAATCCCAGCTACTCAGGAGGCTGAGACAGGAGAATCGCTTGAACCCAAGAGGCAGAGGCTGCAGTGAGCCGAGATCGCGCCACTGCACTCCAGCCTGGGCGACAGAGCGAGACTCCGTCTCAAAAAAACAAAAAAAAAAACAAAAAAAAAAAAAAAAAAAAAAAAAAAAGAAAGAAAGAAAAAAGAAAAAAGAAAGGAAAAAGAAAAAAGAAATGTAAAAGGAAAGTACACACAGGAGAGCCCGCGCCAGGCACATCACTTCTTGTGGTTTCTGCATTCCCAGCTACTTAGCTCCTATTTGGGGTGTAACTAGGACTTTGGTGCTACCTGGTTTCGGAAGACGCCCGTCTCCCAGGAGACAGTTGAGTGCTGCTTTATAATTTCCATGGTGAAGCACAGCCAGGTTTCATTCCGACCATAGGCTTTCCGTAGGTTTTTAAAGTGGAAGTAGAATATGTGTGGATACGTTGCCTCCATCGGGTTTCTGAGGGCACAAGGGAGAAACCCGCCAATGCAGAGACGCCCCCCCCGGAGTCCTGGGGGCTGATGCCCGCTGAACATCACTCCCTGGACTGCCCTGGGCTCTGGGCCTCCCCCATCCCTCCGCAGCCCTGAGAATGTCTGCTGCTTTCCCAGGCAGGATGATTTGGAGAGAGAAAGAGGAGGGGATACTGGCAGGGGCAGCAGGGCCGGAGTGACCTCTCCCAGCTGGAACCCCAGCTCTGGGGCTACCAATGGGACACCCTTAACCTCCCAGTTTTTCTGCCACACATCTCCCAACCCATTAGGAAAATGCAACAGACAATAAAACTCTCCAAACTCAAATAATTGCTTGAATATTTCAGCTCAATTCCTTCCTCACATTTCACCTGTCCGATGATGATTATTATTTTTACATTGGGATCACACCGAATACTCTCCGTTTTTTTTTTTTTTTTTCTTTTTGAGACAGAATCTCGCTGGCATCCAGGATGGAGTGCAGTGGTGCGATCTCGGCTCACTGCAAACTGCACCGCACCTCCCACGTTGAAGTGATTCTCCCACCTCAGCCTCCTGAGTAGCTGGGATTACAGACTTGTGTCACCACGCCTGGCTGATTTTTGTATTTTTATTTATTTATTTTTATATGGGGTCTCACTCTTTCACCAGGCTGGAGAGGAGTGGCGCGATCTCGGCTCACTGCAAGCTCCGCCTCCCGGGTTCACGCCATTCTCCCGCCTCAGCCTCCCAGTAGCTGGGACTACAGGCGCCCGCCACCTCGCCCGGCTAATTTTTTTGTATTTTTTTTTAGTAGAGACGGGGTTTCACCGTGTTAGCCAGGATGGTCTCGATCTCCTGACCTCGTGATCCACCCATCTCGGCCTCCCAAAGTGCTGGGATTACAGGCAACTTTTTTAATTTTTAGTAGAGATAGGGCTTTACCATGTTAGCCAGGATGGTCTTGAACTGCTGACCTTGTGATCTGCCCACCTCGGCCTCCGAAAGTGCTGGGATTAGAAGCGTGAGCCACCGTGCCCAGCACTAGTTTTTGTATGTTTAGTAGCAACCGGTTTTCATCATGTTGGCCAGGCTGGTCTTGAACTCCTGAACTCGTGATCTGCCCACCTCAGCCTCCCAAAGTTCTGGGATGACAGGCGTAAGCCACTGTGCCTGGCAGGTCCAGGCCACTCTCGTAAGTGCTGCATATGTCTGAGCTCATGGCACGTCCCTGAGGCCTGCAGGGGCCATCCTATTTTACAGAAGTGCCAGAGGCACAGAGAGGTAGGGTAACCTGCCCAGGCCACAGAGCTGGGGATGGATGGAGCTGGGGCCCCTTTCCTTGCCAGTCCTGTCCAGCCTCTGCATCACAGGCCCTGTAGCAGGGAGCTGTCGGGAACCGGGTTCTCTTCTTACTAAACTTTAAAATAAGAGCATTACTCCTGATCATCATATTTTTTCCTACATTCCAGGTTACATGTGTCATTCTAAAAGGTGAATGGTGCTTACGGAGGAGGAGCCTGTGTCTGGGGTCATGTGCATCCTCCTCTGCTCACACTGGAGGCATCTTTGGAAGAAATGACATATTTTCTGGTACAGAGACCATTCCCTCCCCCACACCCTCTCCTAAGACTTTGTGTTGAAACAAAGTAAATATTACAGAAATTTCATCAAAGTGCTGAGAACAAAATGCCGGATTGCTCCAATCATCCTTTGGTTCAATTCTCCCAGTTCCAGAGCTCAGGAATGGTGGGAAGCACACAGAGGGAGCACCCTCCCAGGGTGGGGAGCACCAGCCCAGTGGTGATTTTCTGGGGAGAGTCTGAGCAGGGGGCCTGGGCTGGGGCAGGTTGGGGAGGCGGCCCATTCAGAAGCTGCAGACCGGTGACCACATAGCAGGGCAAAGAGCCTGGCTGGGAGTGGGAGCAAAAGAGAAGAGGGCAGAGAGCAGAGGGCAGAGAGCCTAGGGCTGGGGCAGGGGGAGGCCAGGGCTGAGGCCCAGCAGGGCCACCAGGCAGGAAGGGGCAGCAGAGGCCCCGCGGGCAGAGCGCACAGTGGTCCCTGATCTGGGGCTTCACATGCAGCCTCCTTGGCAGGCTTGTCCTGGCCCTGATGTTAGTCCTGGGCTTGGGTTCTATTTCTATCTTCCAGGGCCCTTGTTCCAGGAGGCACCTGCGCTGTGAGTGACCTCCCAGGCCCATCTGAGTGCCGGCCTCACTTCAGGCTGCTTTCTCACCTGGATGGGAGGACCTCCAGAGAGACCCCTGGATCCTGCCCTCAGGAATCATCCCAGGGACGCCCCCCACCCAGCAGCTATGTGGTAGGGAGGGAGAGTGAGGGGCAGGTGTCTGCCTCCCCCCATACCCTCACACTCAAAGGCCACCATTGGAGGGAGGAATAGCTGGTGGGGGGGCCTCAGATGTCCCACCAGGATGTCATGCGTACCCCCACACTGAGCTCCTTCCTTCCACATCTCCTGCCTAGAGTTGTTCCCTGGCTGGCTGAGCTCCTGTCTATATGTGATGAAAGGGCAGAGCTTGGTGTCCCTGGCCACCCTGTCTTGCAGTTTGCTCTTCCGGTCTAAGACCCAGGTGCTTAGTTCCCGTCTCTCCCAAGGGCCTTAGATGATCTCTTTCTATGGCCTGTCTGGTCCCTGGTTGCCTTTTTCTATTGTGCTTCCTGGAAGGTTCCTGGCATCTCAAGCCTCCCGTTATCCAAGCCTACGCTTTTGTAAAATCTCACTCAACACCTGGCCAACATTGCAAAATCCCATCTCTACTAAAGATACAAATATTAGCCAGTGTGGTGACATGTGCTTGTAATCCCAGGTACTTGGGAGGTTGAGACAAGAGAATTGCTAGAACCTGGGAAGCAGAGGTTGCAGTGAGCCGAGATCGCACCACAGCACTCCAGCCTGGGCGACTGAGGGAGAGGCTGTCTCAAAAAAAAAAAAAAAAAAAAAATTTATTCACATGGGACCTTGATCACTGAGTGTTTGGCTCTTTCTGCATCTCCATCCTGTGGGGAGGATTTGAGAAGTGACGGGTGTGAGCAGGAGGCCGGGCTGCGTGCTGTTGGGTGGGGAAGCCATGGGGTGCGGCCCAGGGTGCAGCAAGGTCTGAAGGGAGGGGCTGTGAGGGTCAGGACAGGACTCCTGGGAGACAGACACACAGAACGGGGATCCCTGCACACACCACCCAAGCTTGACCCAAAGCCCCCTGGGTCGTTGTCATGGGCTAAATTGTATCTTCCCAACATTGATATGTTGAAGTCCTCATCCCACCTCCTCACAGGATAACTGTATTTGGAGACAGGTCCACTAAAGTGGTGGTTAAATTAACTCATGATCCTTAGGGTGGGCCCTAATCCTGTCTGACTGGGGACCATAAACAAGGAGGACATTTAGAGGCAGATAGACCCTAGGGTTGCAGGTGCACAGAGGAACGGCCAGAGAGGACAGGGCCAGGAGGAGCGGCCGCAGAGGACACAGCCCCGCCCACCCCTCCACCCTGGACTTGCAGCCTCCAGATCTGTGAGAAAATAAATGCCGGCCCTGTGGGCACCCGGCCCGGGCCATCTTCTACGGCAGCCGAAGCCTGAAGCTCTGTTCCCACAGTGGCGGCTCCTTCTCAAGGGCTCAGGTCAGCCTTGAAGGATGTTGCTCAAAGCTTCTGGCTGTCGAGCTTGTGAATATTCACGCCCACTTACATCCAGTGTTATGACAACTTCGGTTATGCCAGGGAGATGGAAGGAGCCAGGTTGGGGATCCCAGGCTGTGGGGAGGGCGGCCTCGGGGGTGGATGGAGGTCGCTCTGGAGGCCGAAGGGGCCTCTCACTCACAGGAGGGGCCCAGGAAAGCAGGGAGGAGGCAGGGAGGTGGAGGAAACACGAGGAGTTGGGGTGAGGGGGTGTAACTATGAGGGCAGGCAGGGGGCAGAAGGGAGGGCAGGAGGGCCTGGCCAGGGGAGGCCTCAGGAGGATGAGCAGGAGGTGAGAGGAGAGAGACCGTGAGGCCAGAGGGAGACCCTCACCTGAGAATCTCCTTTAGCTTGTGGTGCAGGAATGCATAATTGTCATTGAATTTGTCCCAAGGCATGAATGACTGATCTTCATTGTACACAAAGTTTTCCCAGCAGTATGCAAATTCTGACATGAAGAGGAGGGAAGCAGTCAGGCTCTCCCCTGACCCTGGTCCTGCCCTCCCAGGCCTGCTCTCCTGGCTGTCAGTTGTGGTCAGCCCTGGCCCTGCCCCTGTAGGTTGCCCTGGGACACCCCCAGCCATGGCATTGCAGATCCATCCATCTCTCATGCTGTTCCTCCCGCTCACACTCCCCTGACCCCTCCTCCTCTCACCTTCATAGTCCATGATCTTCACTCGGGCCCCTGCCTGACGCAGCCTGCAGAGCGCCCTGCGATAATCTGTTTCCCAGTAGTAGTAGAGGCGGGCGGCAGAGATGGTCAGGGTGACATTAGGGTGCTCAGCTAGGAATTCGGCCACCTTCGCCACACAGTCTGTGCAGGGGGTCCAGGATACAAACCAGGTGATCTGGAAGCGCTTGTAAGCAGGCAGCTGGTTGCCACAGAACCGAGAGAGGAAGCACATTTCTGCGTGGTGCTCAGGCTTGGAATACACCTGGGAGAGGAGCAGGGGCAGGGGATGCTCTGAGAGGGGGAGCAGGAGGAGAGGGCAGGGTTGGGGCAGTGGGAGGAGGGGCCAGGACAGGAGTCCAGGGGATCTTGCCACTGAAGCTCCTTTCCTCCATCCCCCTGATTAGTTTGAGTGATTGTCTGCTCCAAAGCTCATGCTCAGTGTTAATTGCTATGGTAATGGCCTTAACCATAACCATTACCATTAACCATTAAGAGGTGGCACATACAAGCGGCTATGAGGTTGTGGGGACTCCACCTTTGTGGGTGCCACTGCTGTGGTTATTCAAGGGCGACTTTAGCCCCACTTTCTGTCTCTTGCCCACTAGCTGGAGGGGCAGTGTGTAAGATTAAACTCCTGCTTCCTCTTGTCCCCGTGGCATGGAGCAGCAGTGACCCGACATCCCAGGCCACTCTGGCTGGAGCATCCCCGACCTTCTGGCAACAACCTTCACCCCCACGTGACTGTGCAGCTCGCAGGCCCTGGAAAGTCGCTGGTGCCTTGACAGTGGATTTCCCAGCGTCCAGAACTCGAGCCAGCACATTTCTATTCATTGTCAATGTCTCCGTCTCAGTCCTGCTGTTGAAGCATCACAAGGTGCACCAAGACACGTGCTTCCCTTCGTTTGGGAGTTTTCCCAGCCCTGTTCACGGCCTCGTGCGTGAATTCTGGCATCCATTCTCCCAGGCATCCATTCACCAGGCATCCTCAGCCCCTGCTGTGGCCTGGCCCTCTGGGGTCTGCCTTGTTCCCTCCCTGCCATCTGCTGGAGAAGCCACTGGACTTGTGCTCTCCCATGTGGTGGGGGGCACTGGGCAAGGGGGTTACTGAGCACTTGAAATGGGGCTCTGATGAGAGACCTGGGCACCTGAAAAATACATTATACACCGCTCATTTCTCTTTTTGTTGTTGTTGTTGAGACATGGTTTCACTCTTGTTGCCCAGGCTGGAGTGCAATGATGCAATCTCAACTCACCATAACCTCTGCCTCATGGGTTCAAGCGATTCTCCTGCCTCAGCCTCCCAAGTAGCTGGGATTACAGATGACTGCCACCACGCTTGGCTAATTTTTTTGTATTTTTAGTAGAGACGGGATTTCACCATGTTGGCCATGCTGGTTTTCGAACATCTGACCTCAGGTGATCCACTGGCCTCAGCCTCCGAAAGTGCTGGGATACAGGCGCCAGCCACCCCACTAGCATGGCTTACACGGCTCATTTCAAAGACTCAGCATGACAAGAAAAAGAAACTTCACTATCTTGTCAAGAATTTTATGTTAAATAATCTTGAAGTAATGTTAGCGACATTGGATTGAATAAAATATTAAAAATAGGCCGGCACTGTGGCTCACACTTATAATCCCAACACTTTGGGAGGCCGAGGCAGGTGGATCACCTGAGGTCTGGAGTTCAAGACCAACCTGGCCAACATGGTAAAATCCGGTCTCTACTAATGATACAAAAAAAAAAAAAAAATTACCCGCACATGGTGGTGGGCACCTGTAATCCCAGCTACTCGGGAGTCTGAGGCAACAGAATCGCTTGAACCCAGGAGTCAGAGGTTGCAGTGAGCTGAGATTGCATCATTGCACTCCAGTCTGAGCAACAAGAGAGAAACTCTGTCTCAAAAAAAAAACAAAAACAAAAAAAAAACAAGGCCTTTTGTGCAGAGGCAAACCCCCTCCACGATCCGATCCCAGGACGGTCCAGCGGGAAGGTCAGGGCCACGGACTTGGAAAGTGTGGGAGAGAACGGCACCCTGGACAGCCCGCCGCCAGGCATTTCACTCGTCAGTACGTGGTTTGCTTTCCCAGCTGGCTTAGCTCCTGCCTGTAAAGTGATTGGAGTCTGGGTGGTACCTGGCCTCGAAAGATCTTTGTGTCCCAAGTGGGCATTGAGGGGCCCCTTGTTTTCACTTCGTAGCACAGCCAGACGGTATTCCGACGAGAAAGGATGGGTCTGTTATTAAAGTTGTAGAAGAATGTGCCTCGATACATTCGCTCCACTGTGTTTCTGAAGACACAAGAGAGAAACCAGCCAATGCAGAGAGCGCTCCCAGGAGCCCTCCGCACTGATGTCCGCTAAACACAGTTCCCTGGACGGCTCTGGGCCTCCCCCATCTCTCCACAGCCCTGAGAATTTCTGTTTCCTTCCCAGGCAGGAAGACCGGGGAGAGAGCAAGAAAAGGGGGTGCTGGCAGGGGCGGCAGGACCGGGGTGACCTCTTCCCGCTCAGGGCCCAGCTCTGGTCATTCCAGGGGTACATTCCCCACCCTCCCGGTATTTCTCCCACCTATTCTCCAACGCATTAGTAAAATGCAAAAGAGAATAAAGTTATTGGCTGGCCTTTATGGCTCATAACTGTAATCCCAGCTTTTTGGGAGGCCGAGGTGGGCCGATCATTGAGGTCAGGAGTCTGAGACCAGTCTCATCAACATGGTGACACCCAGTCTCTACGAAAAACACAAAAATTAGCCAGGCCTGGTGGCGGGTGCGTGTAATCCCAGCCACTCAGGAGGCTGAGGCAGGAGAATCACTTGAACGTGGGAGGCAGAGGTTATAGTGAGCCGAGATCATGCCATTGCACTCCAGCCTGGGCAACAAGAGCGAAAATTCATCTCAAAAAAAAAAAAAAAAGATTAAAAAAAATTTTTAAAATAATAATTTAAAAAAAAAAAATCATAGATTTTAACCTTTCAGCCAGTTCCTTCCTGACATTTCACCTCAGTATATTACTATTTTTAAATCACGGTAGAACTGAATTCTGAGGCCCAGGCCACTCTTCTAAGTGCTGCGTGGGTTTGAACTCATGTGAGGCTGCCCTAGGCCTGCAGGGGCCATTCCCATCTTACAGAGGAGGGGCCAGAGGCGCAGAGAGGCGGGGTAACCTGCCCAGGCCACAGAGCTGGGGATGGATGGGGCTGGGCCTCTTATCAGACAAGCCCTGTCCAGTCTCTGTATCACCGGCCCTGCAGGAGGGAGTCACTGGGGACCGGGCTCTCTTCTTACTAAATTTTAAAATAAAAGCATTTCTCCTGATCATGGAGGCTTTTTTCCCCCATATATTCCATGTTTTTTGTTTTGTTTTTGCTTTTGTTTTCTTTTGAGACTAAATTTCGCTCTTGTTGCCCAGGCTGGAGTGCAATGGCACGATCTCGGCTCACCGCAACCTCCGCCTCCTGGGTTCAAGCGATTCTCCTGTCTCAGCCTCCAGAGTAGCTGAGATTACAGGCACCCGCCACTGCACCTGGTTAATTATATATTTCTAGTAGAGACAGGGTTTATCCATGTTTGTCAGGCTGCTCTCAAACTCCCGACCTCAGGCGATCCGCCTGACTTGGCTTCCCAAAGTGCTGGGATGACAGGCTTGAGCCACCGTGCCCAGTCACTGTATTCCATGTTACTGGTGTCATTATAAATGGTGAATGCTGATCGTAGAGGAAGAGTGTATGTTTGGGGTCATCTGCATCCTCCTCTGCCCACAGTGGAGACATCCTTGGAAGACATGATTTATCTTGTGCTTCAGAGACCATTTCCTCCCCACACCCTCTCCTAAGACTTGGTATTTAAAGCAAAGTAAATCTTACAGAAAATCCATCGAAGCTCTGTGAACAAAATTCCACATTGCTCCCATCATCCTTTGGTTCAATTCTCCCAGTTCCAGAGTTCAGGAATGGCAGGAAGCACACAGAGGGAGCACCCTCCCAGAGCAGGGAGCACCAGCCCTGCCATGACTTTTGGGGGAGAGTCTCAGTAGGGGGCCTGGGCTGTGGCAGGTGGAGGAGGCGGCCCATTCAGAAGTAGCAGTGGGGCGACCACAGAGCAGGACAAAGAGCCTGGCTGGGAGTGGCGGGGGCAGGGGAGTCAGAAGGGAGGGATCCCAGGGCTGGGGCTGGGGCAGGGGAGTGGGGGACCAAGGTTGAGGCCCAGCAGGGCCACCAGGCAGGAAGGGGCAGCAGAGAGGCCCAGCGGGTCGAGCAGGCAGCGGTACCTGTACTGAGGCTGCATCCTTGGCTGGCCAGTCCCGACTATGATCTTTGTCTGGAGCAGGAGGGTTTCACTTTCTGCTACAGGCTCCTGGTTTTAGGACAGCCCTCCTTAAAGTGACCTCCCAGAGTCTCGTAGTCATGGCCCCTGCCTCTTCCTGCTCTGGCGCTGGAGTGGGAGGCCCTGGGATGCTTTATCTTCCTCAGGCTCTCATCCTCTTTCTGTTTTTCTCTGGGGTCCTCCCCCTGGCAGAGGGATCTCTGATAAAGACAGGCTGCTCTCTGTGGCAGGACCCAAGGAAACTGCAAAGGGAAAGAGAAAGTCTTTGCAGCCAGAGACTGGGAGGTGCGTCCACACCAGGCTGAGCCAGCAGAGCACAAGCTCCTCCCCTGGTGGTCCCGCCCAGCTGGAGCCGCCTCTCCACCCTCAAGACAGACAGGCTAATGCCTCTGCAGGGACTCCTGGATCCTGCCCTCAGGGGTCGTCCCAGAGATGGTCTCCACCCAGCAGCCATGGGGACAGGGAGGAAGAGTGAAGGGCATGGCGTCTGCCTCCCCGCAGGCCTTCACACTCGGAGGCCACCATGGGAGGGAGGGACAGCAGGTGGGTGTGGGCCTCAGATGTCCCACCAGGATGCCATGTGTGTCCCCGCACTGAGCTCTTTCCTTCCTGCTTCTCCTTCTTCCCCATCTCCTGCCCGGAGTTGCTCCCTGGTAGGCTGAGCTCTGGCCTCCTCTTGTCCCCATGCCATGGAAGGGCAGTGGCTGGTGTCCCAGGCCAGCATGTCTGGAGCCTCCCTGTGGATCTCACAGCTCCCTTCCCCTGGTAGTGTCCCCCCATGGTGCAGAGACCTAAAAATTACACAGAGAATACATTTGGATTTTTATTTGCTTGCTTTTGTGTTTTGTGGTTGTTTTGTTTGTTTGTTTGTTTTTTGAGACGGAGTCTTGTTCTGTTTACCCATGCTGGAGTGCAGTGGCATGATCTCAGCTCACCGCAACCTCCGCCTGCCAGGTTGAAGCGATTCTCTTGCCTCAGCCTCCCATGTAATTGGGATTACAGACCGCCACCCCTATGCCTGGCTAATTTTTGTATTCTTAGTAGAGACGGTGTTTCTCCTTGTTGGTCAGGCTTACAGGCGCCCACCATTATGCCTGGTAATTTTTGTGTTTTTAGTAGAGACAGGGTTTCTCCAAGTTGTTCAGCTGGTCTTGAACTCCCAGTCTGAGGAGATCCACACACCTCGGCCTACCAAAGTGCTGGGATTACAGACGTGAGCTACCGCGCCTGGCCACAGTGTATAAATTTGGAAAGGAGACTTTATTTCTTGTTAAGAGTGACCTGCAGGTGGCCATCCCACAGCCTGGGAAGAACAGCCTCTGGGAAACACCAGAGACAGACATTTAGAAGCAGGAGGGGTTGGGGCAGGAGCTTTATGCTGAAGGGGTTGGCTAAACATACATATTCAACAGGCTACAGGAGGAGCTATGAATATTCATGTATGTGGCTGCAGTCCGTGCTTATTGAACAAACATGTGTGTAACATATGATCCCGGGCGGGCACCGTGGCTCATGCCTGTAATCCCAGCACTTTGGGAGGCTGAGGCAGGTGGATCATCTGAGGTCAGTGTCAGGCCTCTGAGCTGGAGCTAAGCCATTGTAACCCCTGTGAACTGCACATATACATCCAGACGAACTGCAGCAGCCAAGAAGTCTGGAGCAGTCGAAAAACCACAAAAGAAGTGAAACAGTCAGTTTCTGCCTTAACTGATTAACCAACCTTGAGACATTCCACCGTTATGACTTGCTCCTGCCCTGCCCAACTGATCAATTGACCTTATGACACTTCTCCTGGACAATGGGTCTCATGGTCTCCCCACCATGCACCTGGTGACCCCCTCCCCTGCTGACAACAGATGACCACCTTCGACTGTAACTTTCCGCTGCCTACCCAAGTCCTATAAAGCTGCCCCTGTCCTATCTCCCTTCGCTGACTCTCTTTTCAGACTCAGCTGTCTTACACCCAAGTGAATAAACAGACTTATTGCTTACACAAAGCCTGTTTAGGTGGTCTTCTATATGGACATGCGTGACAGTCAGGAGTTCGAGACCAATCTGGCCAATATGGTAAGACCTCGTCTCTATTAAAACTATAAAAATTAGCCAGGCCTGGTGGCAGGTGCCTGTAATTCCAGCTACTCAGGAGGCTGAGGCAGGAGAATCACTTGAACCTGGGAGGTGGAGGTTGCAGTGAGCCGAGATCGCGCCACTGTCCTCCAGCCTGGGAGACAGAGTGAGAGTCCATCTCAAAACAAAAAACAAAAAAACGAACAAAACAAACAAACAAAAATCTAAAAAAAAAAAAAAGCCACCGTATAATCCCTCCTCACATTGCGGTGGAGACAACATTTAAATGTACCACAATTAAGCCTGTATGTCAAAAGGTCCTTTCAGGACATAGAGGCATCGAGATTTTCCAGGTCTGTAAACCACGCAGAACCAGTCCGTGATCCATGGTCTGTGGTCCATGGTCTTCTGATCTGGAGAAAGTCACTGAAATCAGTGTCTTGTGCAGGGAAAGCAGGAATGAGGGCTGTGGAGCAGGGGCTCTGTGGCTCCGTGTCAGTACGCTGGATGAGCTGTGATTGTTTTCATCTTTATCTGGAGGCAGTGCTTGTTTAGCTGTTAGAGCAAAAGAAAAACTCTGTGGCAGGCAGAACAGAGTTTACTGTTGAAGTGTGGGCTGTGTGACCTCACCCTTGCCTGGCACGGCCTGAGGTCCTGGTTGTGATTTGGTATCTTATTGCCATGAAGAGTCTGTTCTGGTTCTGCCCGTCTTACGATTCTGTTTTAACATTACCGCTGGTCAGTTTTTTCTAAACTGCAAAAGGGCGGGGTGATAATGAGGTGTGCCTGACCTTCCCGCCCATCACACCCAGGAACTCAGTTTTAAGGTTTTTCTGAGATACCCTTGGCCACTAGGGACCAAAGCTAGTGGGGGGATCGGGGGGGCCAAAGATTTTAGTTTTACTTCATAGGCCTGAAGACTAAGCTCTGATTTGTTTGTATTTAATCTTGCCCAGAATCCTATCTAAGGGATCTGGGGACTCATGCCTTACAAACCACACATCCTCGTCAGAGGGGTTCTATTTTTATTTTATTGTATTGTATTTTAATTGAGGCTGAGTTTTGCTCTTCTTGCCCAGGCTGGAGTGCAATGGTGCGGTCTCGGCTCACTGCAACCTCCGCCTCCCGGGTTCAAGCAATTCTCCTGTCTCAGCCTCCCAAGTAGCTGTCATTATAGGTGCCCGCCACCACGCCTGGCTAATTTTTGTATTTTTAGTCGAGACAGGGTTTCACCATGTTGGCCAGGCTGGTCTCAAACTCCTGACCTCAGGTGATCCACCCGCCTCAGCCTCCCAAAGTCCTGGGATTACAGACATGAACCACCGCGCCTGGCACAGATGGGTTTTATTTAACCCTGTATATTGTGAGTTACTTTCCAATCTGACTCAGGCACAACATTATGTGACAAAGAAAAAAGACAAAATATTTTACCCCAAAACATGTTTCTTTGCCATATTGTGAAAAGGCCCTGCAAAGTTGTCCTTCGTGGGGGAAAGTTTGCATCTGTAAAGAATCTCTATTAATATAGCTGGATCTTTTCTTCTAGGCCCTCCCAGTCCTAAACAGATTAATTAATTGCACCTTTTAAAGACCTGAATGGGAAACATTTGTCATCTATTGTCTCTAAGGGCAGCCACTATGAGACTTCAAAAGAACCTTGGTCTCCACAGTCTTTTATCTTAACCTGAACATTTCCTTTCTGTGGATGCCAGGTCTCTAGACAAACTCACCCAATCGTCAACCAGAAAATGTTTCAATTTATCTGTAGCCTGGAAGAGCCCCAGCCCTCCTCCCCTCACTTTGAGTTGTACAACCTTTCTGGACCAAACCAATGTATTTCTTTTATTTTCTTTATTTTGAGACGGAGTCTTGCTCTGTCACCCAGACTGGAATACAGTGGCGTGGTCTTGGCTCACTGCAACCTCTGCCTCCTGGGTTCAAGTGATTCTCCTGCCTCAGTCTCCCAAGGAGCTGGGATTAAATGTGCCCGCCACCACACCTAACTAATTTTTTGTATTTTTAGTAGAGACGGGGTTTCACCATGTTGGCCAGGCTGGTCTTGAACTCCTGACCTCGTGATCCACCTGCCTAGGCCTCCCAAAGTGCTGGGATTACAGGCATGGGTCACCGCGCCCAGCTTCTGTATTTCTTAAACGTATTTGATGGATATCTCATGCTTCTCTAAAATATATAAAACCAAATTCTTGGCCGGGCGCGGTGGCTCAAGCCTGTAATCCCAGCACTTTGGGAGGCCGAGACGGGCGGATCACGAGGTCAGGAGATCGAGACCATCCTGGCTAACACTGTGAAACCCCGTCTCTACTAAAAATACAAAAAACTAGCCGGGCGAGGTGGCGGGCGCCTGTGGTCCCAGCTACTCCGGAGGCTGAGGCAGGAGAATGGCGTAAACCCGGGAGGCGGAGCTTGCAGTGAGCTGAGATCCGGCCACTGCACTCCAGCCCAGGCTACAGAGCAAGACTCTGTCTCAAAAAAAAAAAAAAAAAAAAAAACCAAATTCTTATCTAAGGGGTCTGGGGAGTCATGCCGCACCCCTAACACCTTGGATACATGTTCTCAGGGCCTCCTGAGCGCTGTGTCACGGCCCATGGTCACTGGTATTTGGCTCAGAACACATCTCTTCAAATATTTTACAGAGTCTGACTCTTTTCGTTGACAGGCCCAAGACCCAGGTGCCTACTCCCTGTCTCCTCTGAGGGCTCGAGCTTCCGGTTCTCTAGCCCCTCTGGTTCCTGGTTGCCCTTCTACTTTCTGTTCTGCTTTCTCGAAAAGCTCTGGGCATCTCAAGCGTCCATGTGGTACCCAATTCTACTTTTTATTGAAAATCTTACTTAAACACCAACTTGATCACTGATCAAGTTTTCTTGGCTCTTTCTCTTTCACGTTCCCTAGGCTGTGTCCTAGCCCATTGGTGCTCTGTTGGGAGGGATTTGACAAAGGAAGGGCATGAGCAGGAGGGAGGGCTGGGTGCTCTTGGGTGCAGGAGGGTGGGCTGGGTGGAGCACCAAGGAAGATCTGGGTGGAGGGGCTGTGAGGGTCAGGTCGAGACTCCCCTGGGAGACAGACACACAGGACAGGAACCCCTGCACACCCCACTCAGGCCCACCCACAATGACTGCAGCTTGTTGCCGTGTTGCCCTGTTTCTCCCAAAAATCAGTATATTGAAGCCCTAACCCCTCTACCTCAATGTGTGCTTGTATTTGGAGACAGGTCCTTTTCAACAGATGATTGATTGATTAATTAATTAATTAATTTTTTTGGAGACGGAGTCTTACTCTGTCTCCCAAGCTGGAGTGCAGTGGCACCATCTCGGCTCACTGCAACCTGTGCCCCCCTGGTTCAAGTGATTCAAGCCTCAGCCTCCGGAGTTGCTGGGATTCCAGGTGTCCACCACCACACCCAACTACTTTTGGAATTTCAGTAGAGGTGGGGTTTCACCACGTTGGCCAGGCTGACCTCCACCTCCGCCACCTTGGCCTCGCAAAGTGCTAGGATTACAGGCGTGCGCCACCACACCCAACACAAATTAATTAATTAATTATTATTATTTTTTTTATATGCAGTCTCACTCTGTCTTCCAGGTTGGAGTGCAATGGCGTGATCTCGGCTCACTGCAACCTCTGCCTTCCAGGTTCCAGCGATTCTCCGGCCTCAGCCTCCCGAGTAGCTGAGATTACAGGCGTCCACTACCACACCCAGCTAATTTTTTGCATTTTTAGTAGAGATGGGGTTTCACCATGTTGACCAGGCTTGTTTCAAACTCCTGACCTCAAGTGATCCGCTGGCCTCGGCCTCCCAAAGTGGTAGGATTACATGTAGGCATGAACCACCATGCCCAGCTGAGATGATTAATTTAAATGAGACCTCTACTGTGGGCACAAATTCACTTGACTGGTGTCCATAAAGGAGGAAGTCCGCTGGGTGCTGTGGCTCTTGCCTTTAATCTCAGCACTTTGGGAGGCCGAGGTAGGCAGTCAGGAATTTGACACCAGCCTGGCCAATATGGTGAAACCCCATCTCTACTTAAAAATACAAGAATTAGTGGAGAGTGGTTAGGGGCGCCTGTAATCCCAGCGACTCAGGAGGATGAGGCAGGAGAATTGCTTGAACCTGGGAGGTGGAGGCTGCAGTGAGCAGTGATCGTGCCATTGCACTCCAACCTGGGCAACAGAGTAAAACTCCGTCTCAAAAAAAAAAAAAAGATCAGGTACGGTGGCTCATACCTGTAATCCCAGCACTTTGGGAGGCCGGGGAGGGTGGATCACCTAAGCTCACGAGTTTGAGACGAGCCTGAGAAAAATGGAGAAACCCCCTTTCCTACCAAAACTACAAAATTAGCCAGGCATGGTGGTGCATACCTGTACTCCCAGCTACTCAGGAGGCTGAGGCACGAGAATCGCTTGAACCCTGAAGGTGGAGGTTGCAGTGAGCCAAGATTGTGCCATTGCACTCCAGCCAGGGCAACAAGAGTAAAACTCAGTTTAAAAAAAAAAAAAAAGATGATATTTGGAGGCAGAGAGACCCCAGTGGTGCAGGTGCACAGAGGAAAGGCCACAGAGGACACAGCCAGAAGGAGGAGCAGCCTCAGAGCAAACAACCCCACCCACCCCTCAAACTAGGACCTGCAGCCTCCAGATCTGCGAGAAAATAAATGCCTGCCATGTGGACACCTGGCCCGGGGCATCTTCTATGGAGGCCAGAGCATGAAGGGTCATTTTTATAGAATCATTGTCTAATAACTTACATCTGCCTTGAAAATGTCAAGTCAAATTTAAAGTGTGGAGAAGAGCCTCTAAATCTCACATTTCATTTGCAAAGAAAGAATTGTAATTTGGGACATACACGCAGTCCGGGTGGTGTTCACCGGAGGTTGCCGGAGAACAAAGAGACGGCAACACGTTTTATGAAAAGGAGAAATGGGCTAGGCGCTGTGGCTCATACCAGCAATCCCAGCAATTTGGGAGGCCAAGGAGGGCAGATCACCTGAGGTCAGGACATTAAGACCAGCCTAAGCCAGGCCTGGTGGCTCACACCTGTAATCCCAGCACTTTGGGTGTCCAAGACGGCTGGATCACCAGGTGAGGAGTTCAAGACCAGCCTGGCCAAAATGCTGAAACCCCATCTCTACTAAAAACACAAAAATTAGCCAGGTGTGGTGGCATGCACATGTAATCCCAGTTACTCGGGAGGCTGAGGTAGGAGAATAGCTTGAACCTGGGCGACAGAGGTTGCAGTGAGCCCAGTTCGCACCACTGCACTCCAGCCTGGGTGACAGAGCAAGACTTCGTCTCAAAAAAATAAAATAAAAATAAGACTGGCCTGGGCAACATGACGAAACCCGTTTTTACTAAAAATACAAAAATTAGCCCAGCATGATGGTGCGCACCTGTAATCCCAGCTACTCGGGAGGCTGAGACAGGAGAATCACTTGAACAAGGGAGGCAGAGGTTGCAGTGAGCCGAGACTGCGCCATTGCACTCCAGGCTGGGTGACAGGGCGAGACACCGTTTCAAAAAAAAAAAAAGGGGAAACGTTCTCTTGCCCTTTGGGAAAGCCCGTGGGCACTAGGAAGGGTTGGGAGCTGGGAGGTTCCATTGCTGAGTCGCTGCTTTTGGAGCAAGGAGTCCAAGACTTAGAGCCATTTATCGCAGAAGCTATGGATAAAGCTGGTTTCAGGGTACAACGCACAGTTTCAGCAGTCAGGCTTGCACAGAAGTCCATTTTGGGAGCAATGGTGTGTGGCCTGATTGCTTTTCCTCCCTGGCTTCTGGCCTCTGTTTTAGCTGGGTAGGACATGAATGACCCAATTCGTAGGATGAAATTTACAAAGGATGTTTCTCAAAACTTCTGATATTCAATTTGCATATATTCATACCCATTTAGGTTGAGTTTATTTATTGATTTATTTTCAGATGGGGTCTCAATCTGTTGCTGAGACTGGAGTTCTGTGGTGTGATCTCAGTTCACTCCAGCCTCCACCTCCAGGGCTCAAGCAATCCTCCCACTTCAGCCTCCCAAGTAGCTTAAACTACAGGTGCATGGAACCACACCTAGCTTTTTTTTTTCTGTATTTCTTTTGTAGAGATGGGGCTTTGGCATGTGGCCCAGGCTGGTGTCAAATTCCTGGGCTCAAGCAATTCTCCCAACTCTGCCTGCCAAAGGCATGAGTCACTGCGGCCAGCCTAGACTGAGTTTAATAAGATTTGGTTATGTAGCCGGGTGGGGTGGCTCACGCCTGTAACCCCAGCACTTTGGGAGGCAGAGATGGGCAGATCACCTGAGGTCAGGAGTTCAAGACCAGTCTGGCCAATGTGGTGAAATCCAGTCACTATTAAAAATACAAAAAAAAAAAAAAAAATTAGCTGGACGTGGTGGCAGGCACCTGTTATTCCAGCTACTCAGAGGCTGAGACAGGAGAATCACTTGAACCAGCTAGGTGGAGTTTGCAGTGAGCCGGAGATTCAGCCATTGCACTCCAGTCTGGGTGACAGAGCGAAACTCCGTCTCAAAAAAAAAAAAAAAAAAAATTTTTTTTTTATTATGTTGGGGAGATGGGAAGAGGCAGGTTAGGAGCACCCAGGCTGGGGAAACAGGACTGGGGAGGTGGATGGGTAGCCATAGAAGCAGAAAGGGGCCTCTGAAGGAAGAGCCTGGGAGAGCGAGGAGGAGGCGGTGAGGCAGGGGAGCACAGTGGAATGGCCCTGAGGGCAGGAGGGGCTCAGGATGACCAGGCAAAAGCAGAGCTGGTCCAGGGTGGAGGGGAGGCCCACGTAGCATGAGCAGGAGGCTAGAGGAGACAGACCATGAGGCCCGGGGAGACCCCTCACTGAAGAATCTTCCATAGGCGTCTTTCCAGAAATCGAAAGTTGGTGTTTATTCCCTTCCAAGGCTTGAATGGCTCACCATCATCGCACACAAAGTTTTCCCAACAATATTTAAAATCTGAGAAAAAACGAGGAGAAAGCAGTGAGGACCCAGCAGGCCTCTCTCCAGGCCCTGGTCCCTCCCCTCCCAGGCCAGGTTTCCTGACTGCCAGTTACAGTGGACGCTGGCCCCATCCCTGCAGGCTTCCCGGGGACACTGTCCCACCCCACGGCATTGCAGCCCCACCTGCCCCTCATGCTGTCCCTCCCGCACCTGCTCTCCTCAGCCCCCCACATCTCACCTTCGTAGCCCATGATCTCCACGGAGGCCCCTTCCTCACTCAGGCTGCGGAGCCCCTCCTGGTAATCTGTATCCCAGAAGTAGTAGAGGCGGGCGGTATAGATGGTGAGCTTCACGTTGCTGTGCGTGGCCAGGAACTCGGCCACCTCCCCTGCACACTCTGGACAAGGGCTCCAAGATATGTACCAGGTGACCTGGTAGTTTTTCTTAGGAGACAGTGTGTTGTCGCAGAACCAAGAGAGGAAGCACCTTTCTGCATGACAATGGGTCTCAGGATCAACCTGGGGAAGGAGGAGGAGGAGAGCAGGGGGAGCTCAGACCAGGAGCAGGGGAGTGCAGGGGTGGGGCGATGGGAGCAGAGGGCAGGCCTGGAGCCCCAGGGCGTTTCCTTATTTATTTATTTTTGGGACATGGTCTCTCTCTGTTGCCCAGGCTGGGGTGCAGTGGTGCCATCTGGACTGACTGCAGCCTCGACCTCCCAAGCACAAGGAATCTTCCCACCTCAGCCTCCCGATTAGCTGAGGTTGCAGGTGTGTGCTGCCACGCCTGTCTAAATTTGTTTTTGTAATTTTTGTGGAGACAGAGTTTTGCCATGTTGCCTTGGCTGTTCTTGAACTCTTGGGCTCAAGCGATACTCCTGCCTCAGCCTACCAAATTTCTAGGACTATGAGCATAAACCACACGCACGACCTTATTTTATTTCTTTACTTTTCATTTTTCTGGGTACATAGTAGGCCCCAGGGCGTTTTATTCATTGAGTTTCCCTTATTCCATTCTTCTCCTTCCTTTTTATTTTTTTGTTTTTATTTTTTACAAGATGGAGCCTTGCTCTGTCATGCAGGCGGGAGAGCAGTGGCGTGATTTCAGCTCATTGCAAGTTCTACCTCCTGGGTTTTTTTTTTTTTTTTTTTTTTTTTTTTTTTTTTTTGAGACAGACTCTCACTCTGTCGCTCAGGCTGGAGTGCAGTGGCGCAATCTCAGTTCACTGCAGCCTCCACTTCCTGGGTTCAAGCAGTTCTCCTGCCTCAGCCTCCCGATCAGCTGAGACTACAGGCGTCCACCACCATGCCTGGCTAATTTTTATAGTATTAGTAGAGATGGGGTTTCACCATGTTAGCCAGGCTGGTCTCAAACTCCTGACCTCATGATCCGCCGGCCTTGGCCTCCCAAAGTGCTGGGATTACAGGCGTGAGCCACTGGGCTCGGCCCCTTCCTTCTTTATTTTATCGAGTCTTTCCCTGTTTCATCATGCCCTCAAGCGTAAATTCTGGCATCCTTTCCCCCAGGAATCCACTAACCAGGCATCCTCAGCCCCTGCTGTGGCCTGGCCGTGTGGGGTCTGTCTTGTTCCCTGTCTGCCTTCTGCTATGGAGCTCACTGGACCAGCATTGCTCATGGAGTTGAAGGTTGGCCAAAGGGGCTACTGAGCACTTGAAATGGGGCTCTGATTAGAAACATTGGCCTGTGAACAATACACAGCTCATTTCAAAATCTCATTGTGAGAATAGACAAACTTTAACTCCCTCATGAGGCATTTTATATTAAGTATATGTTGAAATCATATGTGAGATAATTGAGCTAATGCAGACATTAAAATGTCTTCCACCAGTTCTTGCTGCCTTTTAAGCGTGTGGGGACTGGAAACACTTGTGCTTCACTCCTGAGTCCTGGGTGTTTCTGAGGCCAGCACTGCTGTAGGCCAGGCCTGCCCAGCACGTAGACAACTCCCACCGCAAACACACTCTGAAAAGTCTCCTGCCAGGGTGGAGGGGACTGCAGGGGTGGGTGGGACACGACAGGGTGGGTGAGAGGTCAGTGGCCCGTGTGGACAAGATTTTGGGAAAGAAAGTCAAGAGTGAGGGTGCTGGGCTCTAAGCAAGGCCTTTTGGGAAGAGACAAATCCCCTCCACCATCCGATCCCAGGAGAGTCAGGGAGGAAGATCTGGGCCATGGACTTAAAAAATGCGGGAGGAGGTTGGGCACGGTGGCTTATGCCTGTAATCCTAGCACTTTGGAAGGCCAAGGGGGGCGGTTCACGTGAGGTCAGGAGTTTGAAACCAGCCTGGCCACCATGGTGAAACCGTGTCTCTACTAAAAGTAGAATAAAAATTAGCCGGGTGTGGTGGCGGGCACCTGTAATCCCAGCTACTCAGGAGGCTGAGGCAGGAGAATTGCTCAAACCCAAGAGGCGGAGGTTGCCTGAGAGAGACTCTGTCTCAAAAAAAAGAAAAAAAGAAAGACATGTAAGAGGAAAATATACACAGGAGAGCCAACGCCAGGCACATCACTTATTGTGTTTTCTGCATTCCCAGCTGCTTAGCTCTTATTTGGGGTGTAACTAGGACTTTGGTGCTACCTGGTTTCGGAAGACACCCGTCTTCCAGGAGACAGTTGAGTGCTGCTTTATAATTTCCACGGCGAAGCACAGCCAGGTTTCATTCCGACCATAGGCTTTCTGTAGGTTTTCAAAGTGGAAGTAGAATGTGTGTGGATACATTGCCTTCATCGGGTTTCTGAGGGCACAAGAGAGAAACCCCAATGCAGAGACCCCCCTCCCCGGAGTCCTGGGGGCTGATGCCCACTGAACACCACTCCCTGGACGGCCCTGGGCTCTGGGCCTCCTCCATCCCTCCGCAGCCCTGAGAATGTCTGCTGCTTTCCCAGGCAGGAAGATTGGGAGAGAGAAAGAGGAGGGGATACTGGGGATACTGGCAGGGGCAGCAGGGCCGGGGTGTCCTCTCCTAGCTGGAACCCCAGCTCTGGGGCTACCAATGGGACACCCTCAACCTCCCAGTTTTTCTGCCACACATCTCCCAACCCATTAGGAAAATGCCAACAGAGAATAAAACTCTTCACCCTAAAATAATTGCTTGAACATTTCAGCTCAATTCCTTCCCCACATTTTACCTTCTGATGATGATGATGATGATTTTTACATTGGGAATCACACCAAATTTATTCCTTTTTTTTTTTTTTTTTTTTTTTTACATAGGGTCTCACTCTTTCACCCAGGCTGGAGTGCAGTGGTGCAATCTCGGCTCACTGCACTCTCCGCCTCCTGGTTTCAAACGATTCTCCTGCCTCAGCCTCCCAAGTAGCTGGGAATACAGGCGCCCGCCACCACACCTGTCTAATTTTTTGTATTTTTAGTAGAGACAGGGTTTTACCATATTAGCCAGGATGGTCTTGAACTCCTGACCTTGTGATCCACCCGCCTCGGCCTCCCAAAGTGCTGATTACAAGCGTGAGCCACTGTGCCCTGCCCTAATTTTTGTATTTTTAGTAGAGATCAGGTTTCACCATGTTGGCCAGGCTGGTCTTGAACTCCTGATTTCGTGATCTGCCTGCTTCAGTCTCCCAAAGTGCTGGGATGAGAGGCATGAGTCACTGTGCCCGGCCGGCCGAGGCCACTATCCCAAGTGCTGCATATGAGCTCATGGCATGTGCCTGAGGCCTGCAGGGACCATCCCTATTTTACAGAGGAGGTGCCAGAGGCGTACAGAGGCCAGGTAATCTGCCCGAGCCACAGAGCTGGGGCAGCAGATCGAGCTGGGGCCCCTTTCCATGCCAGCCCTGTCCAGCCTCTGCATCACCGGCCTGCAGCGCGGAGCTGTCGGGAACCGGGCTCTCTTCTTACGAAACTTTAAAATAAGAGCATTACTCCTGATCATCATATTTTTTCCTACATTCCAGGTTACAAGTGTCATTCTAAAAGGCGAACGGTGCTTACAGAGGAGGAGCCTGTGTCTGGGGTCATGTGCATCCTCCTCTGCTCACGCTGGAGGCATCTTTGGAAGAAATGGCTTATTTTCTAGTACGGAGACCATTCCCTCCCCCACACCCTCTCCTAAGACTTTGTATTGAAACCAAGTAAATCTTACAGAAATTCCATCAAAGAGCTGAGAACAAAATGCCAGATTGCCCCAATCATCCTTTGGTTCAATTCTCCCAGTTCCAGAGCTCAGGAATGGTGGGAAGCACACAGAGGGAGCACCCTCCCAGGGTGGGGAGCACCAGCCCGGCGGTCCATTCAGAAGCAGCAGGTCCATTCAGAAGCACCAGCCCGGCGGCCCATTCAGAAGCAGCAGTGGGGCGACAACATAGCAGGGCAAAGAGCCTGGCTGGGAGTGGGAGCAACAGAGGAAGCAGAGAGTAGAGAGCCCAGAGCTAGGGCTGGGGCAGGGAGAGGCCAGGGCTGAGGTCCAGCAAGGCCACCAGACAAGATGAGGCAGCAGAGGCCCCGCGGGCAGAGCAGACAGTGGTCCCTGATTTGGGGCTTCATATGCAGCCTCCTTGGCAGGCTTGTCCTGGCCCTGATGTTAGTCCTGGGCTTGGGTTCTATTTCTATCTTCCAGGGCCCTTGTTCCAGGAGGCACCTGTGCTGTGAGTGACCTCCCAGGCCCATCTGAGTGCAGGCCTCACTCCATGCTGCCTTCTCACCTGGATGGGAAGACCTCCAGAGGGACCCCTGGATCCTGCCTTCAGGAATCATCCCAGGGACGCCCCCCACCCAACAGCTATGTGGTAGGGAGGGAGAATGAGAGGCAGATGTCTGCCTCCCCCCATGCCTTCACACTCAAAGGCCACCATTGGAGGGAGGAATAGCGGGTGGGAGGTGACCCTCAGATGTCCCCCCACGATGCCACGTGTGCTCCCACACTGAGCTCCTTCCTTCCACATCTCCTGCCCAGAGTTGTTCCCTGGCAGGCTGAGCTCTTGTCCCTATGTCATGGAAGGGCGGATGCTGGTGTCCCCGGCCACCCTGTCTTGCAGTTTTCTCCTCTGGTCCAAGACCCAGGTGCTCAGTTCCTGTCTCTCTCAAGGGCCTGAGCTCCCTTTCCATGGCCTCTCGAGTCCCTGGTTGCCCTTTTCTATTGTGCTTCCTGGAAAGCTCCCGGCATCTCAAATCTCCCATTATCCAAGCCTACGCTTTTGTAAAATCTCACTCAACACCCTGGCCAAGATTGCAAAACCCCGTCTCTACTAAAAATACAAAAATTAGCCGTCATGGTGGCATGCACCTGTAATCCCAGATACTTGGGTGGCTGAGACAGGAGGATTGCTAGAACCTGGGAAGCAGAGGTTGCAGTGAGCCGAGATCGCACCACAGCACTCCAGCCTGGGCGACTGAGGAAGAAGCTGTCTCAAAAAAAAAAAAAAATTTATTCACATGGGACCTTGGTCACTGCGTGTTTGGCTCTTTCTGCATCTCCATCCTGTGGGGGGGATTTGAGAAGTGACAGGTGTGAGCAGGGGGCCGGGCTGGGTGCTGTTGGGTGGGGAAGCCATGGGGTGCGGCCCAGGGTGCAGCAAAGTCTGGAGGGAGGGGCTGTGAGGGTCAGGGCAGGACTCCTGGGAGACAGACACACAGAACGGGGATCCCTGCACACACCACCCAAGCTTGACCCAAAGCCCCCCCTGGGTCGTTGTCATGGGCTAAATTGTATCTTCCCAACATTGATATGTTGAAGTCCTCATCCCACCTCCTCACAGGATAACTGTATTTGGAGACAGGTCCACTAAAGTGGTGGTTAAATTAACTCATGGTCCTTAGGGTGGGCCCTAATCCTGTCTGACTGGGGACCATAAACAAGGAGGACATTTAGAGGCAGATAGACCCTAGGGTTGCAGGTGCACAGAGGAACGGCCAGAGAGGACAGGGCCAGGAGGAGCGGCCGCAGAGGACACAGCCCCGCCCACCCCTCCACCCTGGACTTGCAGCCTCCAGATCTGTGAGAAAATAAATGCCGGCCCTGTGGGCACCCGGCCCAGGCCATCTTCTACGGCAGCCGAAGCCTGAAGCTCTGTTCCCACGGTGGCGGCTCCTTCTCAAGGGCTCAGGTCAGCCTTGAAGGATGTTGCTCAAAGCTTCTGGCTGTCGAGCTTGTGAATATTCATACCCACTTACATCCAGTGTTATGACAACTTCGGTTATGCCAGGGAGATGGAAGGAGCCAGGTTGGGGATCCCAGGCTGTGGGGAGGGCAGCCTCGGGGGTGGATGGAGGTCGCTCTGGAGGCCAAAGGGGCCTCTCACTCACAGGAGGGGCCCAGGAAAGCAGGGAGGAGGCAGGGAGGTGGAGGAAACACGAGGAGTTGGGGTGAGGGGGTGTAACTATGAGGGCAGGCAGGGGGCAGAAGGGAGGGCAGGAGGGCCTGGCCAGGGGAGGCCTCAGGAGGATGAGCAGGAGGTGAGAGGAGAGAGACCATGAGGCCAGAGGGAGACCCTCACCTGAGAATCTCCTTTAGCTTGCAGTGCAGGAATGCATAATTGTCATCGAATTTGTCCCAAGGCATGAATGACTGACCTTCATTGTACACAAAGTTTTCCCAGCAGTATGCAAATTCTGAGACGAAGAGGAGGGAAGCAGTCAGGCTCTCCCCTGACCCTGGTCCTGCCCTCCCAGGCTTTGTCTCCTGGCTGTCAGTTGTGGTCAGTGCCGGCCCTGCCCCTGCAGGCTGCCCTGGGACACCCCCAGCCATGGCATTGCAGATCCATCCATCTCTCATGCTGTTCCTCCCGCTCACACTCCCCTGACCCCTCCTCCTCTCACCTTCATAGTCCATGATCTTCACTCGGGCCCCTGCCTGATGCAGCCTGCGGAGCGCCCTCCGCCAATCTTTACCCCAATAGTAGTAGAGGCGGGCGGCAGAGATGGTCAGGGTGACATTGGGGTGCTCAGCCAGGAATTCGGTCACCTTTGCCACACAGTCTGGGCAGGGGTTCCAGGATACAAACCAGGTGATCTGGAAGCGCTTGTTAGCAGGCAGCTGGTTGCCACAGAACCAAGAGAGGAAGCACATTTCTGCGTGGTACTGAGGCTGGAAATACACCTGGGAGAGGAGCAGGGGCAGGGGATGCTCTGAGACAGGGAGCAGGAGGAGAGGGCAGGGTTGGGGCAGTGGGAGGAGGGGCCAGGACAGGAGTCCAGGGGATCTTGCCATTGAAGCTCTTTTCCTCCATCCCCCTGATTACTTTGAGTGATTGTCTGCTCCAAAGCTCATGCTCAGTGTTAATTGCTATGGTAATGGCCTTAAGAGGTGGCACCTACAAGCAGCTGTGAGGCTGTGGGGACTGCACCTTTGTGGGTGCCACTGCTGTGGTTATTTAAGGGCAACTTTAGCCCAACTTTCTGTCTCTTGCCCTCTAGCTGGAGGGGCAGCGGGTCAGACTAAACTCCTGCTTCCTCTTGTCCTGGTGTCATGGAGCAGCAGTGACTCGACATCCCAGGCCACTCTATCTGGAGCATCCCCTGAGCTTTTGGCAACCACCTTCACCCCCAGGTGACTGTGCAGCTCGCAGGCCCTGGAAAGTTGCTGGTGCCTTGACAGTGGACTTCCCAGCGTCCAGAACTCGAGCCAGCACATTTCTATTCATTGTCAATGTCCCCGTCTCAGTCCTGCTGTTGAAGCATCACAAGGTGCACCAAGACACGTGCTTCCCTTCGTTTGGGAGTTTTCCCGGCCCTGTTCACGGCCTCGTGCGTGAATTCTGGCATCCATTCTCCCAGGCATCCATTCACCAGGCATCCTCAGCCCCTGCTGTGGCCTGGCCCTCTGGGGTCGGCCTTGTTCCCTCCCTGCCATCTGCTGGAGAAGCCACTGGACCTGCGCTGTCCCATGTTGGGGGGCACTGGCCAAGGGGGCTACTGTGCACCTGAAACGGGGCTCTGATGAGAGACCTCAGCACATGAAAAATACACCATACCCTGCTCATTTCAGTGTGAGAAGAAAAGAAACTTCACTATCTCACAAATAATTTTATGTTAATCAATGTTGAAGTAATATGTTAGCTACATGGGATTAAATTAAATATTAAAATTACTTTTACCAGTTTTTGTCGCCTTTTTAGCGTGTGGGGACTGGAAACACTTGTGCTTCACTCCTGAGTCCTGGGTGTTTCCGTGGCCAGCACCGCTGTAGGTCAGGCCTGCCCAGCACACAGACGGCTCCCTCCCCAAACACACTGAAAAGTTTCCTGCCTGGGCGGAGGGGGCCGTAGGGATGGGTGGGACAAGGCGGGGAGCTTAGTGTCCTGAGTCGGGGTGGCAGGGTGAGGAGTGAGGGTTCACCATCCTGTGACGATGCATCTTTGCCATGGAGGAATCAGGGCAGTGGCTGGGGCAGTCAAGCAGGAAGGTCTGGGCCACAGACTTAAGATATGTGGGAAGTGGAGGCCCGGCGCAGTGGCTCACATCTGTGTTCCCAGCACTTTGGGAGGCCGAGGTGAGCGGATCACCTGAGGTCAGGAGTTCAAGGCCAGCCTGGCCAACATGGTGAAATCCCGTCTCTATTAAAAATACAAAAAATTAGCTGGGCATGGTGGCAGGCACCTGTAATCCCAGCTATTCAGGCAGCTGAGGCAGGATAATCGCTTGAACCCAGGAGGCGGAAGTTGAATGAGCCAAGATTGAGCCATTGCACTCTAGCCTGGACAACAAGAGCAAAACTCTGTCTCAAAAAAAAAAAAAAAAGAAAAAAAAAAAAAAGAAAGAAAGAAAAGAAATAAAGAAATGTGGGATGTGGCCAGGCACACTGGCTCATGCCTGTAATCCCGGAACTTTGGCAGGCCAAGGCAGGTGAATCACCTGAGATCAGGCGTTCGAGACCAGCCTGCTCAACATGGTGAAAACCCATTTCTACTGAAAATAGTAAAATTAGCCTGGCGTGGTGGCAGGTGCCTGTAGTCCCAGCTACTCAGGACGCTGAGGCAGGAGAATCGCTTGAACCCAGGAGACAGAGGTTGCAGTAAGCCGAGATCGCACCACTGCACTTCAGCCTGGGCGACAGATGGAGACTCTGTCTCAAAATAAATAAATAAATAAGAAAGAAAGAAAAAAAATAAATGTGGGAAAAAATATACAATTGAGAGCCCGCCACCGGGCATTTTACTTACGTGTTTTCTGCATTCCCAGTTGCTTAGTTCGTACCTACGATTCGACTGAAGTTTGGGTCGTACCTGGCCTCGAAAGACCCCTGTGTCCCAAGGGAGCTTTGAGGGGTCCTTCCTTATTTTCACTTCGTAGCACAGCCAGGTGTAGCTCCGACCATAGAGGATGGGTTCATTTTCAAAGTTGTAGTTGAATGTGCGTCGATACATCCGCTCCATCGGATTTCTGAAGGCACAAGAGAGAAATCTGGCCCATGCAGAGAGCCCTCCCTGGAGTCCTCGGGGCTCATGTCCACTGAACACAGCTCCTGGGATGGCCCTGGGCCTCCCCCACTCCTCCACAGCCCTGAGAATTTGTGCTGTCTTCCCAGGCAGGAAGACTGAGGGGAGAGGAAGAGGAGGGGACGCTGGCAGGGGCGCCAGGGCCGGGGCGATCTCTCCCAACTCAGGCCCAACTCTGGCCTTTCCAGGGGTACATTCCCCACCTTCTCAGTATTTCTGCCAACCCACTGCCCAACTCATTAAGAAAATGCAAAAGATAATAAAACTCTTCACCCTTAAAAAATGGCTTTTAACCTTTCAGCTCAATACCTTCCTGATGCTTCACTTTGCATGTTAACATTATTTTAAAATCATGGTTGAACCGATTTCTGAGGCCCAGGCCACTCTTCTAAGTGCTGCGTGGGTATGAGCTCATGTGAGGCTGCCCTAGGCCTGCCGGGGCCATTCCCATCTTACAGAGGAGGGGCCAGAGGTGCAGAGAGGTGGGGTAACCTGCCCAGGCCACAGAGCTGGGACAGATGGAGCTGGGGCCCCTTTCCAGGCCAGCCCTGTCCAGTCTCTGCATCACAGGGCCCTGCAGGAGAAAGCTGTTGGGGACTGGGCTCTCTTTTCACTAAATTTTAAAATCAGAACATTTCTCCTGATCATTGCGTTCTTTCTCACATTCCATGTTACTGGTCATGTTCTAAAAGATGAAGAGTGACCTTGGAGTGGAACCTGTCTGGGGTCATCTGCTGACTGTGGAGTCATCCTTGGATGATATGATTTATCTTGTGCTTCAGAAATCATTCCCTCCCCACACCCTCTCCTAAGACTTTGTATTTAAACAAAGTAAATCTTACAGAAAGTCCAACAAAGCGCTGTAAACAAAATACCTGATTGCCCCAATCATCCTTTAGTTCAATTCTCCCAGTTCCTGAGCTCAGGAATGGCGAGAAGCACACAGAGGGAGCACCCTCTCAGGGCGGGGAGCACCAACCTGGCCATGACTTTCAGTGGACAGTCTCAGCAGGGGGCCTGGGCTGTGGCAGGTGGGGAAGGTTGCCCATTCAGAAACAGCAGTGGGGCAACCACACAGCAGGGCAAGTAGCGTGGCTGGGAGTGGGGATAGCAGGGAAGCCAGAGGGAAGGAAGTCTGGGGTTGGGGCTGGGGCAGAGGGAGGCCAGGGCTGAGGCCCAGCAGGACCACCAGACAGGAAGGGGCCGGAGAGACCCGGGCGGACTGAGTGGGCAGCGGTACCTGATCTGTGGATTCATGTTCAGCCTCTTAGATACGCTTGTCCCAGTCCCGCTCTTTTTTTTGAAGCGCTGTGGTTTCACTTCCTGCTTACAGCGCCCTTGCAGTTGGGCAGCCCTCCTTAAAATGACCTCCCAGCCAGGCACGGTGGCTCACGCCTGTAATCCCAGCACTTTGGGAGGCTGAGGCAGGTGGATCACGAGGTCAGGAGTTCCAGACCAGCCTGACCAAAATGCAGAAACCCCGTCTCTACTAAAAATACAAAAATTAGCCGGGTGTGGTGGTGGGCACCTGCAATCCCAGCTACTCGGGAGGCTCACTTGAACCCGGGAGGCGGAGGTTGCAGTGAGTCGAGATCGTGCCACTGTACTCCAGCCTCGGTGAGAGAGGGAGACTCTGTCTCAAAAAAAAAGTGACCTCCCAAGGCCTTGTGAGTCTTGGCCCCTCCCCCTTCCTGTTCTGGCGCTGGTGTGGGAGGCCATGGGATGCTTATCTTACTCAGTCTTTCACCCTGTTTCTGGTTTTCTCTGGGGCCCTCCCCTGTGTAGAGGGACTGGTGACAAAGACAGGCTGCTCCTTGAGGCAGGACCCAAGGCCATTGCAAAGTGAAAGAGAAAGTCATTGCAGCCAGAGGCCTGGAAGTGGGTCCACACCAGGCTGAGCCAGCAGAGCAGACGCCCCTCCCCTGGTGGTCCCGCCCAGCTGGAGCCTCTTCTCCACCATCAAGACAGACAGGCTGATGCCTCTGCAGGGACTCCCAGATCCTGCCCTCAGGTATCAACCCAGAGACACCCCCCACCCAGCAGCCATGGGGACAGGGAGGGAGAGTGAAGGGCATGGCGTCTACCTCCCCCCAGGCCTTCACACTAGGAGGCCACCATGGGAGTGAGGGACAGCAGGTGGGTGTGGGCCTCAGATGTCCCACCAAGATGTCATGCGCGCCCCCAAACTGAGCTCTTTCCTTCCTGCTTCTCCTCCTTCCCCATCTCCGGCCCGGAGTTGCTCCCTGGTAGGATGAACTTTTGCCCTCTCTTGTCCCCATGTCATGGAAGGGCAGCGGCTGGTGTCCCACGCCAGCCTGTCTGGGGCCTCCCTGTGGGTCTCACAGCTCCCTTCCCCTGGTAGCGTGCTCCCATGGTGCAGAGACCTAAAAATTATACAAGGTATACATTTACAAAGAACACTTTATTTCTTGATAAGGGTGATAGCCTGCAGGTGGCCATCCTACAGCCTGGGAAAAGCAGCCTCTGGGAAACACCAGATACAGACATTTAGAAGCAGGAGGGGTTGGGGCAGGAGCTTTATGCTGAAGAGGTTGGCTAAACATACATATTCAACAGGCTACAGGAGGAGCTATGAATATTCATGTAGGTGGTTGCAGTCCAGGCTTATCAAACAAATATGCATGTAACATATGATCCCAGGCAGGCACAGTGGCTCACACCTGTAATCCCAGCACTTGGGGAGGCCAAGACAGGCAGATCACCTGCGGTCAGGAGTTCGAGAGCAAGCATGGCCAACATGGTGAGATCCCTTCTCTACTAAAACTACAAAATTAATCAGGTGTGGTGACGCATGCCTTTAGTCCCAGGTACTTGGGAGGCTGAAGCAGAAGAATCGCTTGAACTCGGGAGGCAGAGGTTGCAGTGAGCCGAGATCGTGCCATTGCGCTCCAGCCTGGGCAACAAGAGCAAAACTCTGTCTCAAAGAAAAAAAAAAAAAAAAGGTTGATATTTGATATTTGGAGGCAGAGAGACCCCAGAGGTGCAGGTGCATAGAGGAAAAGCCACAGAGGACACGGCTGGAAGCGACTCCCTGCCAGCCAGGAGAATTGACCTCAGAGAAAACAACTCCACCCAACCCTCGAACTTGGACCTGCAGCCTCCAGATCTTCGAGAAAATAAATGCCCGCCGTGTGGACACCTGGCCCGGGGCATCTTCTATGGAGGCCACGGCATGAAGGGGTCATTTTTATAGAGTCTCATTCTCTAATAACTTACATCTGCCTTGAAAATGTCAAGTCAAATTTAAAGTGTGGAGAAGAGCCTCTAAATTTCATATTTCATTAGCAAAGAAAGAATTGTAATTTGGGACATACACGCAGTCCGGATGGTGTTCACCATGTCGGGAGAACAAAGAGATGGCAATTATAGGAGGAGAAATGTTCTCTTGCCCTTTGGGAAAGCCCGTGGGCACTAGGAAGGGTTGGGAGCTGGGAGGTTCCATTGCTGAGTTGCTGCTTTTGGAGCAAGGAGTCCAAGACTTACAGCCATTTATCGCAGAAGCTATGGATAAAGCTGGTTTCAGGGTACAACGCACAGTTTTAGGAGTCAGGCTTGCAGAGAAGTCCATTTCGGGAGCAGTGGTGTGTGGCCTGACTGCTTTTCCTCCCTGGCTCCTGGCCTCTGTTTTAGCTGGGCAGGACATGAATGACCCAATTCGTAGGATGAAATTTACAAAGGATGTTTCTCAAAACTTCTGGTATTCAATTTACATATATTCACACCCATTTAGGTTGAGTTTATTTATTGATTTATTTTCAGGCAGGGTCTCGATCTACTCTGCCCAGACCGGAGTTCAGTGGTGCGATCTCTGTTCACTCCAGCCTCCACCTCCAGGGCTCAAGTAATCCTCACACTTCAGCCTTCCAAGTAACTTGGACTACAGGTGCATGCCACCACATTTAGCTTTTTTTTTTTTTTTTTTTTTGGTAGAGATGGGGCTTTGTCATGTGACCCAGGCTGGTCTTGGACTCCTGGGCTCAAGCGATTCTCCCACCTTTGCCTCCTAAAGTGCTGGGGGATTACAGGCGTGAGTCACCATGCCCAGCCTAGGTTGAGTTTAGTAAGATTTGGTTATGCTGGGGAGATGGGAAGAGCCAGGTCAGGGGCACGCAGGCTGGAGGAATGGGGTCTGAGGGGGTGGATGGGTAGCCATGGAGGCAGAAAGGGGCCTCTGAAGGAAGAGCCTGGGAGAGCGGGGAGGAGGCGGTGAGGCAGGGGAGCACAGTGGAATGGCCCTGAGGGCAGGAGGGGCTCAGGATGACCAGGCAGAAACAGAGCTGGTCCAGGGTGGAGGGGAGGCCCGTGCAGCATGAGCAGGAGGCTAGAGGAGACAGACCATGAGGCCCGGGGAGACCCCTCACTGAAGAATCTCCCGTAGGCGTCTTTTCAGAAATCGAAAGCTGGTTTTTAGTCCCTTCCAAGGCTTGAATGGCTCACCATCATCGTACACAAACTTTTCCCAACAATATTTAAAATCTGAGAAAAAACGAGGAGAAAGCAGTGAGGACCCAGCAGGCCTCTCTCCAGGCCCTGGGCCCTCCCCTCCCAGGCCAGGTCTCCTGACTGCCAGTTGCAGTGGACACCAGCTCCGTCCCCACAGACTCCCAGGGGACACTGCCCCGCCCCACGGCATTGGAGACCCACCTGCCCCTCATGCTGTCCCTCCGGAACCCGCTTACCTCAGCCACCCCACATCTCACCTTCGTAGTCCATAATCTTCACAGAGACTCCTTTCTCACTCAGGCTGCGGAGCCCCTGCTGGTAATTCGGATACTGGGAGTAGTAGAGGCGGGCGGTATAGATGGTGAGCATCACATTGTTGTGCCTGGCCAGGAACTTGGCCACCTCCCCTGCACAATCTAGGCAAGGGCTCCAAGATGTGTACCAGGTGACCTGGTAGTCTGTGTTAGGAGACAGTATGTCCTCGCAGAACCAGGAGAGGAAGCACCTTTCTGCATGGCAATGGGTCTCAAGATCGACCTGGGGAAGGAGGAGGAGGACAGCAGGGGAGCTCAGACCAGGAGCAGGAGAAGTGCAGGGGTGAGGCAATGGGAGCAGAAGGTGGGCCAGAGCCTGGGGGCGTTTCCTTATTTATTGATTTTTGAGGCAGGGTGTCTCTCTGTTGCCTAGGCTGGAGTGCGGTGGTGCAATCTGGGCTGACTGCAGTCTTGACCTCCCAGGCACAAGGAATCTTCCCACCTCAGCCTCCCAATTAACTGGGACTGCAAGTGTGTGCCGCCACACCTGCCTAATTTTTTTTGTAATTTTTGTAGAGACGGGGTTTCACCATGTTGCCCAGGCTCATCTCAAACTCTTGGGCTTAAGCGATCCTCCTGCCTCAGCCTCCCAAAGCTCTGGGACTATGAGGGTAAACCACATACATGGCCTTATTTTATTTCTTTACTTTTCATTTTTCTGGGTACATAGTAGGCCCCAGGGTGTTTTATTCATTGAGTTTCCCTTGTTCTATCCTTCTCCTTCCTTCTTTATTCTTTTATTTTTATTTTTTTCTGAGATGGAGTCTTGCTCTGCCACCCAGGCTGGAGTGCAGTGGCACAATCTTGGCTCACTGCAACCTCTGCCTCCCAGGTTCAAGCGATTCTCCTGCCTCAGCCTCCTGAGTAGCTGGGATTATAGGCATGCACCTCCACACCTGGCTAATCTTTGTATTTTTAGTAGAGATGGGGTTTCATCATGTTAGCCAGGCTGGTCTCGAATCCCTGACCTCATGATCTGCCTGCCTCAGCCTCCCAAAGTGCTGGGATTACAGGCATGAGCCACTGCACCGTGCCCGGCCCCTTCCTTCTTTATTTTATTGAGTCTTTCCCTGTCTCATAGACTTATGTGTGAATTCTGCCATATTTTCTCCCAGCTATCCATTCACCAGGCATCCTCAGCCCCTGCTATGGCCTGGCCCTCTGGGGTCTGCCTTGGTCCCTGCCTGCCTTCTGCTGAGGAATCAGGGCAGTGGCAGGGGCGGCCCCACGAGCCCAGCAGTGACTGGCCCAGACACAGAGCTGGACACCACACCCCCTGCTTCCCACAGCTGCTGTTTCCCGAGGACTGCCGGATGTACAGCTCCATGACAAGATTTTGGGGAACAAAGTCAAGAGTGAGGGTGCTGGGTGCTAAACAAGGCCTTTTGGGAAGAAGCAAAACCCCTCCACAATCTGATCACAGGAGAGTCAGGGAGGAAGATCTGGGCCACGGACTTAAAAAATGTGGGGAGGAGGCCAGACATGGTGTCTCACGCCTGTAATCCTAGCACTTTGGGAGGCCAAGGCTGGTGGATCACTTGAGGTCAGGAGTTTGAAACCAGCCTGGCCAACATGGTGAAATCCCATTTGTACTAAAAATACAAAAAAATTAGCTGGGTGTGGTGGCAGGCACCTGTAATCCCAGCTACTTGGGAGACTGAGGCAGGAGACTCACTTGAACCCAGGAAGCAGAGGTTGCCGTGAGCTGAGATAGCGCCACTGCATTCCAGTCTGGGTAACAGAGCGAGACTCCATATCAAAAAAAAAAAAAAAAAAAAAGAAAGAAAAAAGAAAAAAAAAAAAGACATGTGGCAAGAAAGTACACACAGGAGAGCCCGCACCAGGCACGTCACTTATTGTGTTTTCTGCATTCCCAGCTGCTTAGCTCCTATTTGGGGTGCAACTAAGACTTTGGTGCTACCTGGTTTCGGAAGACGCCCGTCTCCCAGGAGACAGTTGAGTGCTGCTTTATAACTTCCACGGTGAAGCACAGCCAGGTTTCGTTCCGATTGTTGGCTTCCCATAGGTTTTTAAATTGGAAGTAGAATGTGCCTGGATCCATTGCCTTCATCGGGTTTCTGAGGGCACAAGAGAGAAACCCCAATGCAGAGACCCCCCCCGCCGGAGTCCTGGGGGCTGATGCCCACTGAACACCACTCCCTAGACGGCCCTGGGCTCTGGGCCTCCCCCATCCCTCCGCAGTCCTGAGAATGTCTGCTGCTTTCCCAGGCAGGAAGACTGGGAGAGAGAAAGAGGAGGCGATGCTGGCAGGGGCAGCAGGGCTGCAGTGACCTCTCCCATCTGGAACCCCAGCTCTGGGGCTACCAATGGGACACCCTCAACCTCCCAGTTTTTCTGCCACACATCTCCCAACCCATTAGGAAAATGCAACAGACAATAAAATTCTTCACCCTGAAATAATTGCTTGAACATTTCAGCTCAGTTCCTTCCTCCCATTTCACCTGTCCGATGATGATATCACACCGAATTCCCCAGGCCAAGGCTACCTTTATTTATTTATTTTTTTTAAGATGGCATCTCGCTCTGTCCCCCAGGCTGGAGTGCAGTGGCACAATCTCGGCTCACTGCAACCTCCGGCCCCCGGGTTCAGGGATTTTCCTGCCTCAGTCTCCCAAGTAGCTGGGATTACAGGTGCCCGCCACCACGCCTGGCTAATTTTTTGTATTTTCAGTAGAGACGGGCTTTCACCATGTTAGCCAGGCTGGTCTCGAACTCCTGACCACAAGTGATCCACCCGCCTTAGCCTCCCAAAGTGCTAGGATTACAGGCATAAGCCACCGTGCCCTGGGTAAAATAAGGGTATTTGTCCTAATCATCATATTTTTTCTACATTCCATGTTACCAGGGTCATTTTAAAAGGGGAATGGTGCTCACGAAGGAGGAGCCTGTGTCTGGGGTCATATGCATCCTCCTCTGTTCACACTGGTGGCATCTTTGGAAGAAATGCCTTATTTTCTGGTACAGAGACCATTCCCTCCCCCACACCCTCTCCTAAGACTTTATATTGAAACAAAGTAAATCTTACAGAAATTTCACAAAGTGCTGAGAACAAAATGTCGGATTGACCCAATCATCCTTTGGTTCAATTCTCCCAGTTCCAGAGCTCAGGAATGGTGGGAAGCGCACAGAGGGAGCACCCTCCCAGGGTGGGGAGCACCAGCCCGCTGGTGACTTTCTGGGGAGAGTCTCAGCAGGGGGCCTGGGCTGGTGCAGGTGGGGAAGGTGGCCCATTCAGAAGCAGCAGTGGGGCGACCACACAGCAGGGCAAGGAGCCTGGCTGGGAGTGTCGGCGGCGGGGGAGACAGAGGGGAGGGAGCCCAGAGGTGGGGCTGGGGCAGGGGGAGGCCAGGGCTGAGACCCAGCAGGACCACCAGGCAGGAAGGGGCAGGAGGGGCCTGGCAGACAGAGCGGGCAGAGGTACCTGATCTGTGGATTCATGTTCGGCCTCTTAGATACGCTTGTCCAGTCCCACTCTTTTCTGAAGTGCTGTGGCTTCTCTTCCCGTTTACAGAGTCCTTGCAGTTGGGCAGCCCTCTTTAAAGTGACCTCCCAGGGCCTTGTGAGTCATGGCCCCTCCCCGTTCCTGCTCAGGCACTGGTGTGGGAGACCCTGGGGTGCTTTACGTTTCTCTGACTCTGGCCCTCTTTCTGGTTTTCTTCTGGCCCCTCCCACTGGCAGAGGAAGCTCAGACAAAGACAGGCTGCTCTGTCTTTATCTGTCTTGGGCAGGACCCAACGGAATTGCAAAGAGAAAGAAAGAGAAAGAGAAAGGCATTGCAGCCAGAGCCTGGGAGGCTGGTCCAGACCAGGCTGAGAGAGGGGCAGGTGCCCCCTTGTCTGGTGGATGGACAGGCTGGAGCCCCCTCTCCACCGCCCCCTCCCCAGCCCTAATGTGTGCCCAGAACTTTGAGCAGCACCTCCCTGTTGAGTGAGGGAGGTTTTGAGACTCCAGTGGGGAAGGAAGTGTGGACTCCGCACAGCACAAGTGAAGGCTTAGGTGTGCCTCAAGTTCCCAGCTGTGTGCTGGGTCCATTGCATGCCTTCCCTCTTCCAACCTCCCAGCTTCCAGAAGGTGGGGCGCAGGTCAGCCCCTCAGAGGTGTGGGCGGAGGATGACCCAGGTGCTGAGGCAAGAGACTGAAGGCACAAACTGTTTCAGTATAGTAAAGAATATACTTACAATAAGAATAGTTATAATACAAATTAGATGTAGAGATCATCATGGACATTATCAATCATTAGTATAGACATTAATCATTAGCTTTTAATATTACTCTTTATTACTCTTTAATATTACACTCCTTTATTAAGAGTAATATCAATATTATTATGTAACTGGTGGGTATATGGTCAAGTGCTGAAGGGATGTTGTGAGAAATGACCGAGAATACAAGAGGTGAGCCCTCTGTCCCACCTGCGTAAGGGCCGCTTGAAGGCTCCTTGGTCAAGCGGTGACGCCCCTGCCAAGAGAGCACCCGTTACTTAGCAGACCGGGAAAGGGAGTCTCCCTTTTCTTGGAGGAGTCAGGGAACGCTCTGCTCCACCCGTTTCTTGTGGGAGGCTGGATCTTATCCAGGCCTGCCCGCAGTCATCCGGAGGCCTAACCCCTCCCTGTAGTGCTGTGCTTTAATGGTCATGCTCCTTGTTCACTTTCATGTTCCTCACGTACTCCTGGTTCCTCTTTGAAGTTCTTAGAAGATAGCGGTAGAAGAAATAGTGAAAGCCTTGAAGTCTTTGATCTTTCTGATAAGTGCATAGAAGAAAACGCTGACGTACGCTGCCTTCCCTCTCTGCTTTGACTACCTGTAGGGAAGGGCCCCCTGTTCTATGATGACGTTACTTGCTTGACCTTATCAATCACTTGGACGATTCACCCTCCTAACCCTGCCCCCTTGTTTTGTGTGCAATAAATAACAGTGCGCCCAACCATTTGGGGCCACTACTGGTCTCCATGTCTTGGTGGTAGTGGTCCCCCGGGCCCAGCTGTTTTCTCTTTATCTCTTTGTTTTGTGTCTTTATTTCTTACAATCACTCGTCTCCACACACGGGGAGAATACCTGCTAAGCCCCATAGGGCCAGACCCTACATCAGGGACTGCTGACCCCCTCCCCACTATTAGCCTACAGTCCTGCCACGTCCCCCTCACCAAGATGGTAGAGATAGTGATCAATAAATACTAAGGGAACTCAGAGACCAGTGCTGGTGCCGGTCCTCCGTATGCTGAGCGCCCGTCCCCTGGGCCCACTTTTCTTCCTCTATACTTTGTCTCTGTGTCTTATTTCCTTTCTCAGTCTCTCATCTCCACCTTTCGAGAAATACCCACAGGTGTGGAGGGGCAGGCCCCCTTCAGTCCAGCTGGAGAAGTTGTGCTCTCTGTAGAGGCTCTGAACTCCTCTGGCTGCCACCCGAAGGCAGATAGGGAGGAGGATGCCTGGGTGGGAGGGGGTGCAGCAGCGCCCCTACCCGCATGGAAGCTTGTCCTACCTCTGCACAAAGCGGACTCCTAGTGGTTGTTTTTGGAAGGTGAAGTTTTCTTTCTTTCTTTCCTTTCTTCTCTCTCTCTCTCTCTTTCTCTCTCTCTCTCTCTCTCCCCCCCTTCCCCAATATAAATCTTTTAATTTAAAAGTACATTTTACTGTCGAAAATGAAAACTTGGGGAGAGCAGAAAGATCACACACAGGGCTGCCACTTCACAGCTGGAGGGTTGCTCCGCAGCCTTCCAGAGGCGCTCCTCCCTTCCCAGACGGTGTGGGGGCTGGGCAGAGGCGCTCCTCACTTCCCAGACGGTGGGGCAGCCGGGCAGAGGCGCTCCTCGCTTCCCAGACGGTGGGGCAGCCGGGCAGAGGCGCTCCTCGCTTCCCAGACGGTGGGGCAGCCGGGCAGAGGCGCTCCTCGCTTCCCAGACGGTGGGGCAGCGGGGCAGAGGCGTTACTCACTTCCCAGGCGGTGCCGCGGCGGGGCAGAGGCGCTCCTCACTGCCCAGACGATGCAGCGGCCGACCAGAGGCGCTCCTTACTCTTCAGACGGTGCGGCGGTGGGCAGAGGCGCAGCCCTTGAAGGTGAAGTTTTCTGTTGCCATCAGAAAGAGATGGACAAAGGACCATGGGTGGAAAATAATCAATTCCGTTTATCAGAAACACACTTCGTAGAAGAAAATGGAATAATAACCCTAGACCAGGGAGGCATCGTCAAACCCAGCTGTAAGGCGGCAGTTAAGGCACAGTGGGGAAGGGACACCAGCTTTGCAGCCAGGTAACTCTGAGATCCCCCCTTCCTTACTGTGTGACCTTGGGTGGTTTACCAGGCCTCTAACTGCAGGCGTGAGCCACTTGCCCAACCCATTTTATTATTTTGAAAATGTTTTCGGGCGAGGTGTGGTAGCTCATACCAGTAATCCCAGCACTGTGGGAGGCCGAGGCGGGCGGATCACTTGATATCAGAAGTTCAAGACCAGCCTGGCCAACATGGTGAAACCCCGTCTCTACAAAAACAAAACAAATTAGCTAGATGTGATGGCGCACACCTGTAATTCCAGCTACTAGGGAGGTTGAGGGGGGAGGATCACTTGAGCCATGATTGCATCACCGCACACCAGCCTGGGCGACAGAGTAAGACCCTGTCTCAAAAAAAAAAAAAAAAAGAAAAGAAAAGAAAAGAAAAACTTTTTCCACCTGTGTAATTTTATTTGAAGAAGGTTAAAAATGGCTGATTGCGGTAGCTCATACCTGTAATACCAGCACTTTGGAAGGCGAGGTGGGCGGGATCACTTGACGTCAGGAGATCAAGACCAGCCTGACCAACATGGTGAAACCCTGTCACGACTAAAAAAAAAAAAAAAAAAAAAAAATTAGCCAGGCATGGTGGCACGCACCTGTAGTCCCAGATACCTGGGAGGCTGAGGCAGGAAAATAGCTGGAACCCGGGAAGTGGATGTTGCAGTGAGTGGAGATCTCACCACTGTATTCCAACCTAGGCGACAGAGCAAGACTCCATCTCAAAAAAAAAAAAAAAAAATAGACCGGGTGCGGTGGCTCACACCTGTAATCCCAGAACTTTGGGAGGCTGACGTGGGGGGATCTCCTAAGGTTGGGAGTTCGAGACCATCCTGACCAACATGGAGAAACCCTGTCTCTACTAAAAAAGAATACAAAATTAGCCAGGTGTTTTGGGGCTTGCCTGTAATCCCAGCTACTCGGGAGGCTGAGGCAGGAAAATTACTTGAACCCGGGAGACAGAGGTTGCTGTGAGCCCAGATCGCGCCATTGCACTCAAACGTGGGCAACAAGAATGAAACATCATCTCAAAATAACATAAAATAAAATAATAAATATAAATATAAAAAAGAAGGTTATATATATTGGATCTTTAGTATATGATTGTATGGAATATATATCTAGAATATATATGGGATCTTCTGATATGATTTCTTTTGCTATATATGGAATCATCAGTATATGATTATACATGGAATGTATGTATGGAATTGTTCGTCATTGACGTTTTTCACTCAGCATAATACCCTTGAGGTTCATCTGAATTGTTGCTGATTTCCATAGGTTGTTTGTTTCCATTGCAGGGCACGATTCATGGCACGGATGTACCACAGCAGGTTGAACCATTCGCCCACTGGATGTTTAGATTGGTTGCTGTTTTTGGCTATTGTGAACAAAGCTGCAATGAACACAGGTTTTTGTTGTTTTTTTAAAAATGTGAACATAAGTTTTCATTTCTCTGGAATAAATGCCCAAGAGTGCAATTGCTGAACTGTATGTTAAGTACATGTTTAGTTTTATAAGAAACTACTGGCTGGGCACAGTGACTCACGCCTGTAATCCCAGCAGTTGGGGAGGCCGAGGCTGGTGGATCATGAGGTCAGGAGATCGAGACCATCCTGGCGAACACGGTGAAACCCAGTCTCTACTAAAAATACAAAAAAATTAGCCGGGCATGGTGGCGGGCGCCTGTAGTCCCAGCTTCTAGGGAGGCTGAGGCAGGAGAATGGCATGAACCCAGGAGGCGGCGGAGCTTGCAGTGAGCAGAGATCGCGCCACTGCACTCCAGCTTGGGCGACAGGGCAAGACTTCGTCTCAAAAAAAAAAAAAAAGAAACTACTTGGCCGGTCGCGGTGGCTCACTCTTGTAATCCCAGCACGTTGGGAGGCTGAGGCGGGCAGATCATGAGGTCAAGAGATAGGGACCATCCTGGTCAACATGATGAAACCCCGTCTCTACTAAAAATACAAAAATTAGCTGGGCGTGGTGGTGCGCACTTGTAGTCCCAGCTACTTAGGAAGCTGAGGTAGGAGAATGAATTGAACCCGGGAGGCAGAGGTTGCAGTGAGCTGAGATCGTGCCACTGCACTGCAGCCTAGGTGACAGAGCGAGAAACTATCTCAAGAAAGAAGGAAGGAAGGAAAGAAAGAAGGAAGGAAGAAAAGAAGGAAGGAAGGAAGGAAGGAAGGAAGAAAGGAAGGAAGGAAGGAAGAAACTGCTAAACTAAATTGGAGAATAGCTGTACTATTTTATATTCTCCCCAGCAAGGTATAAAT